TGTTGAGGACTTTATAGGTATACTCAGGGGCGGCCATCCGTTATATATATATATGATCCCCCCCCCCCCCCCACCCCTCTCCTATATGACATATTTCACTTTTTATTTTGAATTAGAAAAATTAATAGGTGATAATTTTTGTAATTTAAACTAAAAAACTTTAATTTGATAATTCGTGTAATTTCTAATTATAAACTTTAATTTTCACCTAGGTGATAATTCAACGAATTTTGTAAAGTACGGCGAAAAAAGTTTTTAATTCAAAATTCTTGAATTATCACCTTGGTGAAAATTAAGGTTTATAATTAGAAATTACACGAATTATCACCTAGGTGAAAATTAAAGTTTTTAATTAAAAAATACACGAATTATCACCTAGGTGAAAATTAAAGTTTTTAATTCAAAATTAATTTTCACCAAGTAAAAGAAAAGTTTTTAATTCAAAATAAATAGTGGAAAATGTCGTGAGCCATCGCAGAAATGGAGTTTTACACCCTTTGATGTCGAAGGACCTTTATAGGTATACTCAGGGGCGGCCATCCGTTTTATATATAAATCATGTCAAAGGTTGCTCAATAGCCTAGTAATTAGGTTTAGTGAAATTTAGTTATCTTAAAAGATACATGTGTCTGAATATCATGTATTTCTAATCTCTTACGAATCCAGTGCACAAATTAGCCTATATAGGCCTATCAGCATTGTATTACACTAATTCAGTAGGCATCTATCATCATACCCACCCCTCACAAAAATAACCACTCTCCAAAAAAATCCATAAAAAACATAGCAAAGTCCTATTTACCTTCACCCCTGGCCAAAAAAAATCACGTGGTATAGTCGTTGTTGTGAAATACAATCCTTGAACCCTTTCAATACTTTAATCCCGTTACTAGGATTACTTAGGTTACAAAAGCTCAACTTTAACCTTCAACAATCAATTAGTTATAACTGTACAATCCACGATTGTATTGAATGAAATAATGTTTTACGTCTACAGCACTTTATTCGACAAGGAAAACTTGCCTACATTCAGAATAATCAATTTTAATATTTCATTTCTTTTTTTGACAAGAATAATTGATACGCCTATGTCGATTTCTATGAACATTGCTTACGTTAGTAGGCTATGTTCCTTGACCTTAGACGAAATGTAAAAAAATAATTATTTTGCAATATAAGATACACTATTTTTAACCGATATTGATTAAACATGGTGGCATTGTCATGTACATGTATATTAAAAAAATATATATAATATATCAAATGTGTTCTGCTTCATTTTCATTTCTGTCGCAAAAAATTCATTTTATGTGCTATGCAAACCTTGAAATTATATCGCGCGAGTCTAGCAATTTGTTGGCTAGAATGAACCACACCCCTTACTAATTAATAAAAATATGTAATATATATATTAGTGTTGAAAAGACAATAACCATGTTACACATTATTGCTTTTCTTATCTTGTTTGCTGCTTCGTTGTCAACAAGGCACTCTCCTATAATACAATGTGTTCTTATTGTATTCGAATTTCAAACCGTAGATTACACATGTGATCTAGTAGTGAACGCCCTGCAATTATCTCAACAAAATTTCTCCATGTCTTTAAATTTAAAAGATCACTATGTCGCACATGGCAATACTGCTAATAGTTCAAATGGGACAAATTGACCAACCGTTTGACCAATCGTATGGTAGTCTCAAAACGGGTATTTTGGGGTTTTTTTTAGCTAAGATGTGATTTCGGCTCTATAAAACGAGTTTAACTTGTCAATATATTGGCTCTTATCTACCTGTGATATATATTTTGCAGTTGTCGATTGGTGTAGACACAGAAATATTTTTAACGGTTTATTGAGGATATTTATCATTACCATGAGCAGAGTCCGAAACAGCTTATTCTTATCAAGTTGTGGTGTGTGGTTATCCATTTGTGCCGAGACAGAAATATTTGGTACGGGATTTTAATCATTATAAAAAAAAATACAACTTACAATTAATTAGGTTCTTTGATACAAGCACCTTTATCACTCAATTGGGTCTTGGTTACCAATAAGGCACAGAAATATGGAACGTAAAGCTCCACTAAACATAATCATATCCAGTATAATAATGTATATCTGAACTAGTTTCCAATCAAGACAGGAAACTGAAAAATGACACTTGGAATTCAATGCCATAGTTAATGTCCATTATGATATTGATGCTTTTCTGGACTCTAGCATACTACAATTTTAATGTTATCTTTGATACAAACATGACTTAAATAAAACCCTTATTATATGTACCTTCATTATTCTATTGTTTGTTTTATCTTCGGTAACGTTTATTTCATTGATTCCACAGGGCACTGTATGTTAAATCGATATTATAGTCCTATATTTTCATAAAAAAAAATTGTTTATCAAAACACATTTTCAATGTCGGCACTTTATGTCATTGTTGTAAACAATAAAATACATTCAAATCTCTTTATATCTCAAATCAATCTGTAGTGGTTATGAATTTGAACACTAACTTGGAAACAGTCGTAAAATAAATATATGAAAATGCATTTAGTCAGTAAAAGTCACAACCACGAAATATCTAAATAGAAAAAGTTATTATCAGCTTGCTTCGTTTTGAAAAATGTCTTCTCATCTAAAATTGTATTTTGCCTATATACTGTCGAAAAACGGCATATTATTGATGAGTGGGATTCATTAAATTTTTACTTACTGCAACACCAAAAGGCCTACAAAGGCCTCTTGGTCAATGAAATAATCTATCGTATCTCAACCAACAATCCAACTGAATTCCTTTATATTTTTTACTAAACTTGCAATTGTTCAATAGGCTGAAAAAGTTCAGTTAGTTCTAATGAATCTCCTGGTAGAACTCCGTAGAATGGCTCATTTGATATTTCGTGATCGATGATTATTCAATACTCAAGGGTGGACCGATGACATGCGAAAATGATTTGATATTTTTAAGTCCTTTAACGTCAAATATTATTTATCCAAACCCAGTATACATTTCAGATTTGCAGTAGGCTACGTCGGACCAAAACACACGTTTAAATCAAATTGATAAATATATGCCAAAACGTTAAGTCAAATACATCGACAGTAAAGTTCTTCTTCTATCTGTATTTAAACAGAATCCGCTGTTGGGCTTCAAAATGGTAGACCTACTTGGCAAACAATAATCATTAGCGCCATTCCGTTTTCGGCTTAATTTCGTGAAAGATTTCTTCCTTTCCTTAAGAAAGCCTTTGACATGTTCTGTGAATTTCATGACCGTATGGAAGCTCATATATATGGAACGTTCATGTAGGATCCCCCTCAACCCCAGAAGAGGTTAGCCCGGTTTTGGCCCCCATTTTCAAATTCCTTGTGAATTAACATTGGGAAATAATTCCGGAGAGACTCCCTTGGTAATTCTGTGGCCCTAACTTGCCCCATCAACTAATGATTCTTATAAACGCCATTTTGTTTCCATCTGAATTATGATGCCAGTAATGCTACAGAAAGCAACGCCCTCCAGGGGTTTGTCAATTTTGAACGATGGGGATAGCATTTGTATAGGGAAGTCCACTTTAAATTTACCAGAAGAGTTAACACAAACGAGTGTTTCGTGGTATTCTCTTCGTAGGTTTCCATATGGCAGTCCTAGACCTAACCAATATTGTTATATTATAATTTCAGTTATCATTACCAGATTGATTACCTAATAGAATTAACACGTACATAATTATCATGATTTTTAATGAATCATCAGTTTTATCAATTTATTTCTCCTTCTCGAAAACACAAGAAGGATAAATGCCAATAACCACTAGTATTTCAGTCAATAATTTCAATCGGGATGTGGCATATTTCAAGAGATATTTCATTTTTTTATACGGAAAGATCGGTGAAGTGAAGGCAGCAATTTCAATTCAACGTCGAATGCTTTTCATAGAGTTTAGAATCCATAAATAACACGGATCCAGGAGATAGGAATTAAAACAAAAATGCTACAAAAGAAACAACTCTCAACAGTGTGAATTTTATAAACTTGATAAGTTGATCTTGTACTGCACTAATCAAGTCTAGAGAGACAGAACTGGTCTACATTCAAAAACTCATTGAAAACATTATATTTGATGTATTGAAGTCATATTTTAATTCATAAACAAATTAAAATGATATAAACCTGAAAAGTTTTATTATTCTAACTGATCTGAGGTAAAACGGAAATCATTAAATTAATAATTAAATTATGACATAAACAACAAAATGAGATAGATTGTTACAATTTCAAGCTGATTTCAATATTACTGTACAAAACATATAGGAAATAAGAATAATTTCACAATGTGTTTTCTAAAGTAAGTGTGGTAAAACAAAACTTTGAAGTGAATTTTTCTTCAATAGTAGATATTTTTTTTAATAGTGAATATTTTTCTGTTGATGTTTGTTCGCCTCTTTATTGTAAATATCTTTTTCATTGTAAATGAAAATTCTTACAATACCTTTCTTGTACACAAAAACAAAATTTCATTTCTTTTAAAAAACAACACCATCTAATTTTAGCTTCTCATTAAATAAATCATTTGTCCATATCTATTGATTGTATAATTTTGAATTATGATTGAAACATTTATTGAGATGCTTAAAACAGGACAGTGTATCTAAAAATCTTTCAAAGAGACATTTTGTTTTTAGGATTTTTTTTACATTTTATACAAATAAAACCATACTTTGGTACCATAAATAAGAAAAAAATATATTTTCATTCCAAGAAATTTGAAGAGGGTGACTTCCCTTATGGTAATAACAAAGAGACAAAAAACTTCTACTCTGAAATTTTCAGATCTGAGATAGTAAATAGAAAACTCTGAATCATTGTGAATATGTGAGCTATGTAGGGCTGGGTGAAATTGTGAGAATTACACATATCACAATCACATCACAATATTGATAGCATTCCAATATCACGAGAAATCATCACACAGCCCAGTTTCTTGATGAATTATGGTGTAACAGACTTTATATGTGACAATACCAGTCAAACACAAACAATAATAAATACAATATTTTGTTTCCATGGTTACAAGATACTAACAAACAATGATAAAACATTCATGCCTTACAAAATAATAATAATAATATAACATCATACAAAATTCCAAGAATTTTAAGCTTCTGACGGTATCAGTTTTTATCCCTTGAAAAGCTCAAAATCTTTGATAACAAAATAATAATAATAATAAACAGAGTAGAAAATTTTATTGCATTCAATTAAGTAGCGGTTTGACTTGTTCAAAATTTACTTCTAAGGTATGTCTGAATATCAGTATTTTATCCATAGATAAAAGAAAAAAAGTTGACAAACATCATTTGGGCCAATTTAAATTGTTCACAGAAATTTAAAAAAAATCAATGCATTGCTTTTCAGTCATAATGAAATTCTCTGAGAAAATCAATAATTTGCAAAGAAAATATTATCATTGAGAATATATATCCTGTTTTAGAATTGTGCAAATTGTGAAGAAATCAAACTGCTACTTTAAATATGACACACAAATATCATTCTATACAAAAAAAGAAATAAAAGTAGCACTGAGACACATAAAAACACTCCATCTTATATAAACATTTGGTCCCTGTCATATAAATTATATATTACATCACATATATTTCAATACACAGTTGGGGTTCATCAGATTCTCTACCAGGCAATCAAGGCATGCAAATTTCCTGGTATTTTCACTTAAATTAAATTTTGCCTTATTCCACCCATTATGAAAGATAAAACATTCCCATCCTTTACAATAATATTTGCAAAATAGAGAAGTAGCAAATTCTAGAACTAAATGAATTACATTCATTAAAATTTCAAGTTAACTTTTAAATATGGCCATCTATTAATTATGGCATCTTCAAAATAAACATTCAAATCTGAAAACATGAAGATGCCTTTGAGAGGCATTGCCTGAGACTTTTGTTTAATGAACCCTAACTGGTAAAACTTTTTGAATAATTATATATATAATAGTCTTTATATTAATGCTGAAAACTCTCATAATCCAAACCTCTCCTTAATTAAATACATTAATTTTTTCTTTCCTTTATACACCAGTTTCATATTCTCTATTAACTGAGCGAATTGTATATGGCCGTCTTGGGCAAGGAGGAATGTTTCTCGAGCTTTTGATAGAAATTCTATGAAATCACCGTAATGCCGTGGACTAATGTGTGTTAATTTGGAATGTGTTGTATTGATATAAGCATACATCGTGGCATCCATAAGTTGTCGTAATGGTGGTTTGTCATAAGATAAGGGTTTGATAACTCTTCGCTTTCCGTCATGACTGGCCATACCAGGTGCTGTTAACGTACACCGTCGTAAAATGTCTGATAAAACTGTAGCACACTGAACATTTTCAACTAATAGAGGTATCATTCGTGTTAGTTCGTTCTTTCCCAGAGAATGACTGAGAGCACACGCCCAATGAATATCATTTATTGCAGGATGAGTGTCTTGGTTATATGCCAACTGTAAATTCTTCATGGCTAATAATGCTAGAGTGTAGGCGCGTGTGGGGTAAGCACGATGTTCCATATATCTAGCAATGGTAAACAACTGACTGGAATTCATGACATGAGCTGCAGCATCAATGACTATTTGGTAAGCTGTTTCAAAAGCAATTGTGTCTTTTTCACACAAAGTAAGAGAGCAAAGGGCACAGTTTTGTGGATCCTTATTGGCACATTGCAGAGCAAGTTTCCGAGCACAACTTGCTACTTCTTCCATTTGTTGATAAGATAATTTTAATTGCATTGTAGTTGCTGGAGACATGATAGTTGAAGCTACAGTACCTGAAACACAGAGAAATATAAACATCACTTGTTATTTACTTAATAAATGCATGTCATTAAAATATTCAGTTAATAATTGGCATGAAAACACTCCAAAACATAAATCCAAAGGTGGTTCCATGAGAGTATTTTTTTTTTTTATCTAAAAATGATTATTTTTTTGGGACCCCCAAATATCAAATCTTGCTTAAACTCAACATGTTACTTTTCAAGAAATACTTACTTGTAGCTTCTATGGGAGCAAAATATTGAAACCAATTCTGCATAATAGATATCAAAGCTTTGACACCAACTTCTGTAGCACAGGTGACTAACCAACGAACCATCTCTCGTCTACGCCAGTTTAATGTCATCAATGTCATTCTCATAACTTGTAATCCTAATTCAAATGCTACATCTAATGTGGCTTGATGTTTAGGAGCATCAGAAGGCGTGGCTATTTTGAAAGCATCCTGAGCTAATTTAAATAACTGTGATGAACTGTGAATATGTCTCTGTGCACACTCCAATACACCACGTAGTCTACTAGTATCACCTGAAATAAATAAAATATAAATTTAATAACATAAACATATTTCTGGTAGAATACAAACCCTTTTTCGTTTGTAGTATTCTTTTCAAAGACTTCATTAAAATGTTTGTTTTGATCAGTCAAGTCTAGGGAAGATAATTATGCAGACATTAACAAGAATAACAAATTAATTATCTGTAGATTAAAGGGGCATTCCGCTTTTTTTGTAAAACATTTTCATTATCAAAAACATCATAAATTATTCCTGAAAATATTTCTTCAGTATGCGATTGATATCTTTGTATGTTCTTGATCAAACTGAAATTGTTTTAAAAGGGTTAATTAAAAACTGAGAGTACTAATTATTAGTTAAGCCTAATTTCAGTGCTTGACTTGTTATATTTAGTTGAAATCTTTAGAAAACATATTTCTCTACAATTCGGCGTTTATTTTACACAAATCTGTACAGTAGTTCTCTAACAGTTTGCTAAAAGCATAACAAACTTCAAAGGTTACATAGCCTTTTACGTAAAATGTTGGCGTTAAAAAATTATTCTAAGGGTAAAGTGGAGTATTTGGTCAATGTATTGGACATTCTCAGTTAAGCACAAATATCTTAATAAACAATGTAAAGTAGACAATGGAAGAGTTATAAAATAAAATCATACCTTTGGCAGCAGCTAGCAAGGTAGAGGCAAGCTCACATTGTTGGGATTCAATACGACTTAGTACAAACCAGCGTGGAAATCGACTTAATATAGCAGACCCAATATTACCCCCACCTTCTTCATTATTCAGTTCTTCTGTATTCTCTAACACAGGTAATCTGGAGGAATAAAAATCAATTTCTCAAAATACAATTTCTTTGAACTAACTTAGAAACTTGTTTTTAAGAATCATTGAACTGTCTCAAAAGTCTTTAGAGATAACTATATATTCATTCTTTCAAAGAACAATAAGATCAGCAATGTACATCTAATTCATTTGCCTTTTTCCACATTCAATAGTTTACAAATAGTTAAAGTTTACCTCATAGCTCTAATGCCTATTTTAAAAGCTAGATCTATCTCATTGGACAGTAATGTACTGAATAAATAACGAGCAAAGGTATGCATTGGATAACTTTCATGATGTATCCCTACACCAAAACCACTGTGTGGACCGCCTGAAATAAACAAAGTAATAGATAGTTATCAAATAGATAATAACCCTTGTAGAGATTCCAATTCTTGAGAGCAATCAAATGCTAACATATGTGTAACAGTAGATACAAGGGGGTACCATTTTCTTATGTGTAAGGCTTAGTAGTGAGGACAGTTAAGTGGTTGAAGGGAGCTAACTCTGTTTAGTAAAAGTTACAAGTGCCTGTGTTTCAAAAGGTGACTAATGCCTGTGTGCAAGGGCAAGTCACTCTTATGACAGGAAGTTCTCTTCCATGTGCTCCTCAATGTTGATAAAGCCTATGAAATACCTACGTTTTGTTTCTCTCCTCCCACAGATATTATTTTGCTATATAAGGCCAATTATGTTGCTGTCAATCTATAAGACATAGGTTTACTACACTATGTCAGTGTTTTAGGCCTTTGCCTCTGAAAATCTTGTATTTTCTATTAGTATCACACACGTTGGATGGCCCGGTGCGGTAGGCCACTCCACGTGGTAATGGGCAACCCTTATTCATTGCGCCTTTGCATTGTTCTCTCATGTAATATAAGTTTACACAAGTTGATGTTCGTAAGACATGTTGTATATTAGTTTAGTTTAGTTTAGACTCTTATGACAGGAAGTTCTCTTCCATGTGCTCTTCAATATGATCCTGCAGAAGGTAGTACGACATTGTTTGTCTGTTGTTAACAGAGCTGTAGAAAGGGGTGTTGGTTCCAGTTGCACCATGTTATAGTGCCAGTATATGAACCCTTTCCTTGTGCTCTCCAGAAGTGTCTACCAGGCTTAGTTGTGCTGCATCGTATAATCCTGAGGTCCACCGTTGTACCGTCTTTAAAGCTGAACTTTAGGCTTAACTGAGTTACCCAGTGTTGTCATTATTTCTCATTCTCTGTGTGTCAGTCATCGCGTTGGCTAATCTGGTTGTTTTACTACTCACACTTCTCTGTTTTCACCTTCTTGGTGCAGAGAGGTGTAACATATGCATTTCTCTTAGTACTCAGTTTTATTCATAACCGCTTGTTTGTCATCATGTCACCTAATAAGATGTTATTCTAAGAGCTATTTTATCAGTAGATATAAATGTATTGATCCTACAATTAAACCTACACTATGCATAAGTGAATATAGAAAGGCTAATATTTACCCAGGCTAATTGGATTTAATGAATTAAATGAGAGACTCAAACAGTCATTAACTAATAGCTATTCTGCTAGAACTACTGTACTTTTACCTGAGTATAGAATAACAATGTAAAAATTGAAGAAACTTACCTTCTAATAATAAATTAGCTTGTTTGGTTATAACTGATAAAATTTTAGTATCAGGAGTTATAGATTGGATTTTAGATAACAATTTCTCTTCTTGTTTACATGATTTTTCCTGAGCATATAAACCTGGTGGCATAACTCTCTGTTGTCCCAAACCTAGAATACAAGGTAAAAACATGGCTACCTTATAATCTCTATTTCAAGATAATACCACTATGATTGTATTGGTATTAAATGGTAGCACAGAACAACATTGAAAGTTAGTCTTTATGTTATTCAAAAAACGGACCCCAGTTTCATTATGGTGCGTTAGTATTTACGTAATTTTTATCCTTACGCACCACATAAGTATTTATTTAACACATCTGTTTCACAAAAGCAAGCAAAAGTAAGTAAGTGAAAAAAAATGGTGTAAGTATGGAACGGTGTGAAGTAAAATTGATAAATGATGACGTATATATCACCCTGAGCATAAGTAAATCGTCTGCCCCTGTCATTTTTCTCAAAATGGTATCAATCAGGTTTGATGCTGAAATATCAGCACTTTTCGAAGCTCTTAAAATGTATAATTTTAATACAATTCAAGGCAAGTTCTATCCTGGAGTTACTAGGAAAACCAAACAAATTGAAAGATAAATACTGAAGACTTCTAAAGTTAATCTTGCTTAGTTATCATTGTCCTAAAGTCTAAAACTAAATCATTAAACAAAAGACAAGTGAATAATTATGAATAGGTTAATCATGTCACCTACCCTCAATAAACTGATAAACTGTGCTTTTGAATGTATTTCTATTTATAAATAACCAATGAATGTTTAGATACACCACTTTCATTTTAATTGGCTGACATCAAATTTGTAAATTTTAACATGTCTTTGAGTCTATGATCGGAGTACATCAGGCACAATTTCTGAAAACTCTCTCCCTTATTTCTTATTAATCGTAAATACATTTTGTCCACTAAAAACAAATTGTCAGCCTGTTTCTAACACTAATGCAGATGATAGGTTGCGTGAAAAAGGACTTATGCCTGCCTTATGTAGATGTAGGATTCAGGCAACATGTTTACGCAAGTAAAGATTATGGTTTTGTAGTAAAACACAAATGTTAATAATTGTACTGATGCACCTTAGTGGAACGGGGAGCAGATGAATATGATTTCTGATTTTAATCTAAAAAATTATTCAGGCTCAATCGCTTCAAAAATCTGATATAAGCTTAGTATTGATAGACTGGTTTCTTACCTATCAGAGCTACTTCCATAGCTAATGTGAGGTATGATTCTGTATTATCTGTATTGCTTGGTAGAGGTATATGATGATAACGTGATGATGAATGTGATGAATTCTCTCCTACCCAATCTACAATTACAACACAAACAAACACCTATTACAAACATCTTTCATTGAATATGCTTTCAATATTCATTCTATTCAATAATATACATGATATGATGATAAAAAATTGAAACACAAAGATAGAATTTGTATACTTGACAAAAATGAATCCATGACAAGGAAAGTAATTTTACCTACTCTTAAATTATGTCTTAACAAACAGCTGGGTATGTCCAACCTTACAAACACAATAGGATACTATTTTTAGTTTCTCTAGATATAATGTGTCTCAAAAATAATTGTAGTTACCTCCCCTGCCATCATCAGTGCAGGCTTCCAACAAAGTATCAAATAGCACACCAATAGGATCTAAAGGATGTCCTACCCAACCTTCAGCATTTGATGGAGGTGGTGATCTTGTAGATCGAGAACTTGATGATCGTGAACTCCCTGTAAATATAATAATGTCAATTTATCATGATTTCATCAGTGTTAATTCAACATTGAAAACAAAATTGCATGATTTTATGATTTATTCTTACTGATTACTGCATTTTCTATTTTTTCACCATTGATTATAAACACAAAAAGAAAAAGCAGGGAATATATCTTGCTCTTACCTGATTGTGTCTTTTTACGTTCCAAATTAATCAGCTGTTCAGCTTGCATTGTGCGTACAATAGTTACTGCTAATCTCAGGGCTTTACGAGTATAACCATGAGATTTTAATGCATCAACTCTAGCACATGAAGTTGGAATATGTTCTGTAACAGAAGAAAAAATGCAATAGATTGCAACCTCTGACATACCTTGTTCACACAAAGACTGCAGATTTTGGATGTTTCTTAATATACATACATGTATATTGAAGGAATACAAAGGCAGTTTTCTGTTTTACTCGCTGATAAGATTAAATAGTATTAAGATACTCTTGATTTTCATGTTTAATATCTGGGCTCAGAAATACAAACAAGTAGTTGGGTCCAGCCTCCCTAGATTAGAATCATTAGCTCAGAACAGGGTTAACCGGTTTGTACTTACCATGCCATAAAGGAAGACCATTGTTATCAAACTGATCTTGACAATGTCCAGCGTCCCCTTCCTTCGTATATGTATCATGTAAAATATTCTGGAGGTGTTCATTATCCCATGTTAATTGACTAGCTTCTAAAGAACGATGGAAGACTGTACGCGGTCGTGGTCTTGGAACCTGGTGGAAAGAACCTGTAATAAACAAATATAATTAGTCAGAATAATACTTATGTACTTGTAGTAAAGCAATCATGGAAAAACACCTTGTAATAACTCTCCCACAAAAACAATCAGAAATTTTAATCCAAACCATGTAGTCGTGATAAATCCAGGATATAATATGACAGAAAAAAGATAACTTACTATGAGCGTCTGCAAGTAACAAATCACGTGTTAGAGGTACATCAGGCATTTGCCGACTATCAGCATCTTCAAGGGGACATAATCCATTCATTGACCACTGTTCTAATAATACATGCCAATGCTGTTTTTCTAAGATAGTACTGTTAGGGTTTAATACTACACACACCCATAATGCTCCTGGAATGGTATAAAACAATAATAATTAGTTTCTGAATATCACTAGTACATAGCCATCTTCATATTCCCTGTCCAAACTTTAGGGTGTCAATTCTAAACATGGTGTGAATAGTTTAACTTGTGTTTAATTAGATATAAACTAAGTTAAAGAAGTCTTTTGTTTAATGTGTAAACATAAAATTCAAACATAAATTAAACAATTTAACAAAATTCATGTTACATTTCATATAGATTCATAGGAAATATTGTACAGTTTGATCTTTTGTTCATACATAACTGACTTAACTACAGATTATATTGCCATCCTTTAACAGAAAATATAGAGTAGTTGAACAATAAATAAATTTTTATGCACAGTTACCTTTATTTTACTCACTGTTACTTCAAATTCGGTTAAAAAAAATTCAGTTATAATGGTATAGACATACAGAAATTTCAGTAAAAAGGGTTCTGGGATTCAATAAATTCATGACAGTAAATCAAAACCATGAACTGTTTGTGAAATTGTAGAACATACTAACCTAATTCATCCCAGAGTTGTCGACATTTATCAGACATTGAGGTACCTTGAGTTTTCCACACCGAGAGACGAGGATCAGCTAAAAACTGTTCTGTTATCAATGTCAACATTCTAGCTCCATTAGAATCTCTGGCTCGTAACATTTCACGTACCTATATAACAAGAAATATCAAAATGTTCATCAAAATCTTTTTTCGTCCTGGTGTAGAAGTAATACTTTTTCATCATACTGCAGCTGTTCAGTAAGGTCTATAGGATTCAAAATTGCTGAATTGATTCAGAAATCCAGATACTGTTCATACCAAACATGTTCCACAGATGGATGAAAGAGCAATTTAATATAATCTCTTTACAAGCAAAGCAAGAGAAAAAAAAAACAAACAACATACCTTAGCAAACATAGAGTTAAGCTGATTGGAGGCATGTAAATATACACCCTGAGATAGAAAGGATCGAACTTGTTCTTGAACCTGCTCTTCATCTAGATGCCAGCTGTTATCATCGTCAACAGAAGCTCCTGCTGTTGGATCTGGGGCACCTACAATATAAATTTACATCTTAAAAATATTTGTCAATATTCTTACGTGGATTGTTCGCATAGAACAAAAAATAATATAATTCTAGTATCACTAGTTGTGTGGAGGTGTGACAACATTGCATTAATATAAGAAATGAATGATGGACCCACTGCTGTTATGGGGCTATGAATACACTTGATCGAATTACTGGTTTTGAAAGGTCATCCATTTTGCTATCTGGCCCAATATTACACATCACTGTAACTGTATTGAATCTCCACTTCCAAATCTAGATGATCTGATGTGATGTGTATCAATTGCTCTAAATCAATTTTAACGTTTTAAAAATTTCTTAAGTAGAAGGAAGTTGTTTTCACCAAAATTATATTTCTGACTTCATGTAAACCAGCTTTAGGAGATTACAAACAATACATAACCCCAAAATAACTCTTAATAATATCTTACTATAATCAAGTAGGCCCATACAAACTTGGAACGAAGATGTTTATTTTGACTAGTTTCCATAGTAACAGATCAATTCTTATAATTGTTATATATTATTATACTTGTACAATTAAGATTGATATTGAAGGCAAGTTAACACAGGGAGGATATCTATTATGGTATAATTCTGATGAAACACAGGATTAAATCTCAGCTGTTAAGAATAATAATATCACCTCGACATATTCAGTATGTTGTCAGATTAACTCGGTAACAGTGTTCTGAACAGCACGTAATCACTATCACATCATACCTTTTAATCACAGTCGAGAAAGTCTGATTGTTTTGGCCTTATGACCTAGATGACTATGAAAATTATGTGACGTGCTCTAAATGACTTAAATTAAGCAAATCAGTAATACCAACTGCCTTGTGATTCACAATTCAACAAGCCCTATGATAAATCCATATATTCTAACAGATTTAATATAATAATAACATTGTTAAAAATTTGCATTCATTTACCAATGAACTACAAATTTCAAATTCGTCAAAATCTGTCAACAATTGGGCCTTCTAGAGGTCAGTAACTCATGCTAATTATTTTTCAATTTTTCTGATTTACAATAGGGTTCATACTTAGGTGATTACTAACACTCATACCAAGTTTCGTCAATATCAGTCAAAAATTGAGTGTTTACCGAGCAATTGTGGACAGACGGACGGACAGAAATGGGTGACAGCAATATACGGCCCCCATGAAATGGAGGCCTATAAAAGCGACTCAATCAACCTTGCGCTATTTTATTTGTTTTGTTGTGTATTCATACGTCATCGCGGCACGGTTTATTGTTAATTGACAGGTGTTGTATTGTTATTTTCACACTTTTCTGACAATAATGATATATTCAGGCTTAGCCATTTATTTGAATTAACACATAAAAAACCAATGAACACAAAAAAATTCAATCCTTAAAATTTCTTAAAGTCACTGAACAAATTTTGTTTTATGAAAGAAGTTGATTTTTGTTCATAGATTAATATTGTAATGTAGGAAAAATTCCATAACTTTTAGGTTGTTTCACTCTAAATGTCAATAAAACCTTTTCTATTAATATGCTTTATAAACTATTATCTGAAATAATACCTCCATTATAACATGTGTGAGTGTCTATGATATAATACATCAAATTACGCATTTGACTGTGGATTATCTTTTAAATGTAATCTCTACGGGGATTATCCCCTTCTTAACCAAACTTACACCTGATTTAAGTTTTTCTCCCACTGAAACGCATTATTTTTGAAAAGATGAAGTTTTCAACAAAAGAACTCTTTTCTGAAGGATTGAATATCTTGTAGGAATGTTGAAAAGTTATATTTAAGACGCCATTATTCTAAAAAGCAAAATAATATAAAAGGCCATTTATATTACGTAGTTTCATTTAATTTCTTCCTTTTCAAATTTGGAACATCAATGTTGTATAGAAACGGTAACTCAACAACAACACATTAATACGTCAATGAAATTTACAAATCGACAAATAGGAATTTGCAAGAAATGGATGTTCATTTGGTTGAATACACAGCCAACGTCTGATCTACTTCCAACTTTGAAGGTTGTGACACAGAACTTAAAATGACAGTTTTCAATTATTTTCTAGATGTCTAATTTTATCAATCTGAATTGACATAGAGAAATGTACAGCAGCGAAAATTGCAAAAAAAAACATTGTATGTTATGAGATGTGTTCTTGACATAACCATCATGATGGTAATTCGAAAGGCTTTAAGACTGCAATGTGCAAATGGAGTGGAATTCTTGGCCATATTTCCTCTATTCAACTACAAAATATGCCTGTTCTGAACAATGTTAAGAAACAGAACAGAAGAATATAATACATTATTCTTATCATTTCATTAGAAACAGATTATATTTTACACAATTTTCATCATTCTTCTAATAATTCATACAACAGAATCTGAACTTTATTTTTAGTAAATTGATTGGAGAATATCTTTAAATCAATCCTCTGGAAACATTATTGGCATTTTAATTGAAATAGTGAATAATAAAATAATCTAATTATCAGCTTTAAGATTTAATAATTTGATAAATTGATTTCATCTATTGAATTTTTCTTTGTCTGATTTTTACAATACTGTTCAAGGTAGAAGTCCAATAACAGCCTGTATGATTTCCAATAAAACAGTTGATACACTGCAGGAAACTTGTTTTTCACATTTCATGGTTACATCAAATTGGAGTTCCACATGACTGCTATTGCCTTTGGTGTTTAGAACACAGGCTGATACAAACAACAAATTCTCCTAATTTGAAACAAAAACATGGTCTAAACTTTGTTCTTAAGTTTTTATTGCTGTTACCTGTTTATAAAGACAGACAGTTGAAATAAATTCACACCCGAAAATAAGACATGAATACTAACCCGGAAGTAGGTTGATTTCAGATTTAGCTTGTAGAATTTCATCTGCTATAGTTTGAGCTGTGGGTAAAACTTCCGTATGATGTTCAGATATTAAATACTGTGCAAATTTCTGTAACTGTTCTCTATTCATTTGTAATAGTGTTTCTGAAACATTATAAATAGCAAAGATAGAAACATTGGTTTTTACCAAACATTGAAATATTGGTTCATATCAAACTGGAAATATCCTGAACAATCTGAATGCCTAATACTGATTTTAAATTAAACATTCTTCATTAATATAATCAGGATTAGGTTGGGCTATATAGCTATGTAACCTAACAGCTCATGCCAGTCAAATTTTAATAGGGATTCAGAACAGCCAAATAATATGACAAACATAATGTCTGTCTAAACATGCATATTTTTAGATAATGCAAAGCAGGATTTGTATAGTTAGATAATAAATAAGGAGTGAAGTCAATGTATAAGGTCCTGTTAATGATATAAAATTCAGTAGATCTTAAATCAACATACTCATGACCAAAAACATTAAGTTGACTCAGAAAAAGTCCTAATCAACCCAAATAGCTGCTGAAAGTGTTCACTTACCAGAGATAGGTACCCGTAGTTCAACAACACTGGCTTTACGAATACGGTATAAAGATAAGGCAACCACATGTTGACACCAAAATATATCTTTATTACCACAACCACATTTCACTGAGGTTATTTTACACCTAAAGTATATGATAGAATCAGAAATTAATAGCTCTGTCATACCTGTATAAAACTAATACTGCACTGTTAGGGTCAGGGCTAGATGGGACTGGGAGACAGATATGGAGTGTTTTGAGAAGTAACCATCCCAATGGCAAACATCGCAGGAATTCAACTGATATCTCTTGATCATAACTAATCATTTGGTCATGTTATGGCCCAATAATTCACATGTCGTTTAATGTCAAAATTTATAAAAATTATACCATGAAATATTTTCTAAGTAACAACATTCAGATGAGAAAATATATATTAAAATATGTACATAAATTAGCTTCATTTCACAGGACTTTTATTGACCTGTAGTGCGTATGTCTAGTACATGTCATGTGACATATCCAAGGAAGGACTTGGTGCAAGTCAGCTGATAGTCCAATCAATACAAATCAATGTGACATATGTTATATGCGGAGTTGACCGACATGTCAGTATGTATGTATGTATATATATATTGAGAAATAAACCCTTCAAGCTATTATGAATAATTCTCTTCAAATTAACATGATTTTCACACACAGCTGGACCAGTCCCATACATCATATAGGAATTTTAAAATTCCATCTACTATAAGATGTCAGATTATTCATAGATAATCTATTCTTATTTCAACCATGTTGCTTGAATCACTAAAATCTATAACAATTTTTAAAGAAAACAGACAATTTCATTTCAATTTCATCTTTTCCAATTCTTATAGTTGGAATTTAATACCTATCAGAATTCCTTAAAGGGGAACAGTTGGCATTTTGGGGGATTGATTTTGGTCTTTATTGTGCTTTAATAGTTTAAAGAAGTACTAAAATGCAAGAAAAATCGCCTAATCCCTTCAAATATACCTCAAACTAGAAATTTAACTGTCTATTCCTATATATGTATTTTCTATATATGGCATAGTCTCACTAAAATTCGAGTCAAATTTCAAAAGTGAATAATTTTGGATACACATGGATTTGAAGGCTCAAATTTTGATGATGAGCTGTGAACACTATTACAGATTTTGTAAGCTATAAAAATTCCTGTTTCTGAAACTAAGGTATGATTGGTCTAACGGATAGTGAAGGTGCTCCTTAAAAATATAATTTTCCTGTAAACTGTCTCTGCAGCCATTCCAATATTTTAAAAGTATTTTTTATCCTAGTCTGACCAACATTCAAACCATTATCCCCTAAACTTTTCCCAACAATGTTCATGTATAAAACACAGTGAAATGCATTCATTATTGATTGAAAGTTCCTACTTACATTCTAATCTGAATGATTTATTTGATAATATACCATAAATTGATAGTCTGTTGACCAGAATAAATAATATAATTCATTATTCATACTGAGATAAATATAATATTGATAATAATATACAGCAGTTACACTCTGTAACAGTTGGTGCCTGACATTTATTTCTCATTTCCACTGACTGCAAACAAAGGTTGGAAAATCAGCAGTTATTTGCATAATTTGCTGCTGAAAAGCTACTCTTTTCTACTGTTTAGAACCTTGTCAGAAAGCTAATATCAAATGAAGCATCTTCCTTAGAATGTGAGGGCTGACACTTCTCAAATGGCTGATATGGTTTAAGTTGTACTGTATGCTATTCCAGTTGGTATATCTTGGTAATTTAATTTATCATAATAACGTGTTGCACATGAAGCTAATAGTTAAATATTTTGAATGTCAGACTGTTTCTGGAAGTGAACCAAATCAAGTTCAAAGAAAAAAAGATCACTTCTTTTGAAATACCAAAATCACTTCACAATATTCATAATTTAAACTCAATAGATGTTGTTGAATAAGCTTTAAATAGTCAAAATTCTTGTTTTAGGACTGTCTCACCCCACTACCCCCTACTATCCCCCCTCCCCCCACCTTTTCCTTAACATCTGATTATCATTCATTTCAAGCAGTAATATCCTGAAGGATTTATATAAATTTACAATAACCAGATTTTCAACTTTCCATCCCTAAATCTCCTGCAGTAAACATTTAATAATGTGATCGGAAATAACAGAGTATGTGTGTATGCACTCTAACATTTATCAATTAATCAGGTCTATGATTATAGACTACAAGTTTATTGAATGATGAACAAGACTACAACCTGTATCATTATGAAAAAGAAAAAATAAACAATCTACTGGTATTAAGAGTTTTTGGAAGTGAACTTCCGTTAATTTTCATCAGATTCGACATGCGTAATAATTGATATTTCATACTACAGTGAATGATAAACCTGATGAATACAGTAATGAGCTTACATCCTTATTAGAAAAACTTCGCTGCCTTGTATGATGTCATATTATTAGCTGCTAGTTACTAACAATGGCATATCATAGGTTCAAATAAGTATCTAGTGCTAAATTGCCACTGGCACAACATATTGTCGGTATAACATTGTAATCCAAAATCCAAAAGACATTTAAATTCATAAATTATGTCTAATACCAGTTGTAGAATATAGCTATTTATTTCAAATTTCACTTAAAGGGACATACAGGGTGGATGAATAATCTTCAGAAGTACTGTACCGTACTAGAAATGTACGAAAATGACATAATTGCTTGAAAAATAAGCTTACTTAAAACATGTAACAGAGTATCTTAAATTGACGAGTCGTCATTTTAACATTGAACACAGATAATTCTTGGATTTGAAGGCTCAAATTTCTACGGCGAGCTGTGAACACTATTACGTATTAGCTCAGCTAAAAAATTCCAGTTTCTGAGACTAAAGTATGATTGGTCAAAAAAATGACCTACCGTACCATTTTCCTTTAAGAAAATCATAAAATACTTTCTCTTATAACAATGATCATCCTTAAATGAGATATCTCTGAATTTTAAACATTTTATCACAAATCTAGCAGTACCGGTATTTAGGAATAAGATCTTTTGTTGGGAAATTTTTCTCTACATTCTTTAAGAGGATTGGTCACAAAATCTTAAATGACTTTCATTATTATCATTGCCAACGTGCCAATAATATTAAAGTTGAAATGTTCAATACTGAATGGAGGATTAATATGAATGTATTTTTTGTTAAACGTTCATTTGAATTGTGAGAGGAAGCAACCTTGTAAATGGTAAAATGTATCTTAATCACCTTTTTGTTCAATCATTAACAGTGCATTGTATGAAAAGATTACTTGTTCAATCAATGTTTCATAAAATTTGAAGTTTTATTCTTTTATATTCTATAATCTATTAAAAGCTTGAATTTGAAGTTTTAGTCACCATGCGGTGTGTTTGTTCAGCATTTCTTTTTGTATTTTTGCTGTTCACAAGAAGACAATGTCCACAAATATGTCAAATAAAATAAATGTTTGACAATTCTTATTTATATACAACAATTAAATACTTTTTTTTATCGATGTTATCTTAATCATCAAGATGGTCAAGATTAATGCGTTCACAGGAGAGGGATGTTCACAGTGAGCTTATATTTGTTTAGTGTTCATTATATGAATGGCTCAAAGTCACATAATTACAAAAACATAAACATGAACATAAAAGTAACACTTCAAAATCAATGTCATGCTGATGATCATGAAATATACATTGTGTTCAGAGAATGAACAATCCCTGCCTAGCTGTTGGAGAATAAGAGAGGAGATGCTATGTATGATACAAGAAAAACTTGCTATTGTTAAATTAACAGTTTAAGCATTTAGTTAATAGTTCTAGATTATAAAAGCAAAGTCATGTTTAGTTATATAGAAATTCAGTACTCACACCATAATCAGGGTTGAAACAATTTTCTCAAATTTTAAGTGCAATTGTAAACAATAAGCAGTAAAAAAAACTGTGGGTAATTTTCCATTGACCTAATTAGAATAATTAAGGAAGTCAAGGATAATGATGTCATGTCTCTGTTGGTGTTGCTGACGTATAATATTAACACTGTTTTGTTGTTTGTTGACATGGTTTACCTGGTGAAAGACGTTAAAGAGACGTCACTTGAAGTTTGAATTTGTTAATTTTCAAAACTGTAAAAGATTATTTTTGAAAAAAATCTGCTAACTGTGTTATAAGTACTGGTTTCTCAAATTTAATCACATATCTAATATAAGAAGAAAACTTCTATTACACTTTGAGTGATGTCATTCAACCATATTTGAAGTTTAAGAAAATTCTAAGGATCAAAAGTTATTTTATGAGTTTTTCTGGCAGAGATCATTCAAAAATGTGTCTATTAAGATCTAAGCTAAAGTGCAATAACTTACATTCTTGAAAACTGAGGATGTGCCATACTTTATGTCAAAGAAAGTGTTCAAGAAAGAGAAAAATAGAAGGGATGGGAAGGATCATTTATCAATAGAAAGGAAACTAACATACTGGCCCTAGGCTATAATTTATCAACATGATTCACACCAAATTTTATATTCATCTGGTCTATTATCATATCAAAACAAAAGCTATTACAATCATTATAGCCTTACCGTAGTTTAAATTTCTAGAATAAGGAAAAGTTGAGTCATTCATAAACATTTTTCCTGTTTTTACCAACCTGTCACTCACTGCTTGGTACTTTTGACACGTCTTTCAGGCTTTTAAATATTTATTTTTTAAGACATATTGGAAAACGTTCTAAAATGACTCAACTTTAAAGAGAAAGCCAGTCTCATCAAATCCTACATAGCATATTATGAAATAATGTTTAAGCGTTTATTACCCCATTCAGAGACTATCTATTTGGGCGTATATTATATTTAAAAGGAGGAATTTTAACTGAACAAACAAAGAACTCAATCTAAAAGCTGATTGTTAAAATAAGGAAATATTATCCCCACCTAGTGAGATACATATGTACAGCTAGAATTACATCAGGAGGGTGGAGCTTAGTACATTATCATGTCACAAGTCCTCTTTGGGTCATGCCCTAGTTCTGACAGGAGGTCATGGAAGTTCACACCACATATTTTTAACTGATGCTTCCTTGTTTCAATTTGAAGATGTGAATAAGAAATTTTCACAAAATTAAACTATCCAATGGTAACAAAAGTACAACTGACAGCAAACAAAGTCTTATGTGGTAGAAAAATTAAAAATACTCTCAGAGCAGTAAATAATAATGTTTCTAAAATTATTGACTAAAAATATTTTTGTAGGTCAAATAGTAACTGCCAAAAATTTCTAAAAGCATATATTTTTAATAAAACCAGTGTATTAATAACCAGCATTTTGGCACTTACCTATCAAAACTGATAGAGACTTTTATTGGTTTTTCTGGCTCCGAAAATAAAGGATTAGCAGCCTCAGTTACGGTACCACTTAGATGAAATCCTGCAAATAGAAATATAATAGCATATAAAAGGTGCTTGTAATATCAAAGTAGATGTAAAATTGATGCTGTTTTCCCCAATACATAAGAAACATTTTGCCCTCAAAGTGTTACCAAGTTACAGTTACAGTTCCAGAGAGTAAATTGTAGATATACTTTTGTAGCACCAAAATAAACTACAGTCAAAAACTCATGAAAAAGTGGGGTAAAAAATGAAGCTCTACAAGTTAAACTTTATGTACAAGAATTACTGCACTGGGTTTAAGGGCTTTTTCAATAACCATTTTGTGATTTTTATGTGATATTGTAAGTAGTTAAAAAAACAACCAAATAAGCAGCATGTAGGGCATATAAATAGACTTTGATAAGTGGATAATTTGTTGATATGAGAGAAAGAAAGAGTGAAATGTCAGGCAAGTACAAGATTAGCAAGACATACACACCCTCTTTTCATATAATTTACCAAATTTTAACATTTCTATTCATGGTAATTTACATTTTACGCTCAGCCAAACTCTGTCAAAAACATGTTTTTCCTTGTCATTATTTTCAAAAGAATCTGAACAACAATTTAAATAGCATAATAAGGCATGCACGACTTAGTTATCAGAAAATAGATCACCATACTGTTAATTGCTATTAAAAGGTAGATCTGAGAATCTAGCTAAATAATAAGCTTAGTTCATCTAAATTTATAGTTGTGGCAGTGATTTTATGTATGAGACAAAATTGCAAAACACAGTGAAAAAAGATCAGATGGTTGGAATTTTTCGTTGCAAATTAAGAAAATGACTTTGTTTAAAACTGTTAAACACAAACAATTTTGTTAGACAGAACACCTTATGAAATTTTATACACTCTCAAGATCTTGCAATTTTTATCATGGGCAATTTAAACCGTGACAAGGGTATTAAATCTATGTTGTGAATATGAAGTTTATAATGATACACTAAGAACTTCTTGAGTGTTATGTTTTTTTGGAATTAATTACGTAAATGACCTTGACTCAAAATCAGGGAACAAAAAGTTCAGTTGCACTTAGGACAAATCTTTAGAGTAAACTTCTCACATAATTTATTAATTGAATTAATTAGATCAATAAGATAACATCTGTCTTTGTTGTCAAGCAAACGACTTTGTCAGCCATGTTGAATTTAGCTGTAAATTATAGCCTGGGACAAAATACTTCACACTGTAATCTTTTCATGTCTCCCGTCACTTCATGAGAAATCTCCACAATAACCATTCTTTCCTCTACTACTGAAGAACAAAACCTTCTTCAGTAACTTTTCTCCAACCTTATCATGCCCTTATTGTCTTCACCATGGTAACGCATGCCTAAAGCAATCAGAGTGACAGTTGTTTGTGTGTAATAACCGGTCGAATGATGGAAGTTGTGCAGTCGCCCATGTTTGATAAACCCATGAAGATTGATCTTAAAATGTCCAGAAAGACAAAAGAAGCAAATAAAGTGTCAAGATGTGTTATGAAAAGTTGACTAAGGAAATAAAATAGGAGAGAATTCGGCACTCTTTTAATTCAACCATAGAAAACCTGCACAAGGCAAGCTTAAAGTATTAAATTTATCAAAATGAGGTATCAAATTCTTCAACAAACATGCTTTGTATTGATATTGTATAGAATTCTAACTCGCCTCCCTTTAACTTATTGTATTCACACTGACTGGCTTGCTGGACTGGCCCACATATTTCTGGCTGGCCCTGAATCTGGATAAATAAACTTGGCCTTAATAATAATGTCTGTTTAAAGACAGTCTAACCAACCTGTCCTCTATGTAAAACTGCTTCATTTAAAATATAAACATTTTATTTTCAACAATACCATCATTATTTATGCTCAAACTGCACAAACACTAGTCTTAATAATACAACAATCAGACAGGAAAGACTGGGTCCGACTTTCCTCCTATATATAACATACCATTCAAATATTTGCCATACTCCTGGAAAATGATTCACTAAGATAACATTCTGTCACATCTTGCATGGAAAATGTAGTATAGACTTGGTGAAAATTGAATTACCTTCAGGTGCAAATCTCTGAGTACCCCTACTGGCAAATGTACACAACTGTGTAATAGTCCAAGAATGGTCAAGGTCATTACTTGGACCATACAATACCATTGCTTGAAAGCAATCTATTAAGACCATTAAGAAATCCCAGTTTCTTATTTCTTTTTATGAAATCTTTTCCACTCATATATTAAGACTATATTTCAATTACACTTTAAGTCCCTTATTTAGTCAATTTGAAATTATCTTATACCTTTTCTGAGACATGACCTGTTTCAGGAATAGACAAATATGTATGGAATGGTGCTAAAATTCTGATGACAAAACATTGTCAACAATATACACAGGCATTTTCTGTAAGTCTGATGGGCTGAGCACTGGTTTTAAGGATATTCACTGTTACTTTAAAATCAAATGTTATCAGTCCAATATCATGCATATAACAATCTTAATGTGAACAACCTTCAATAAAGCAAGCCTTAGTTATTTTAAATGAGGTCAAAGTTAAAATATAAGTTTTGAAACCAGGTCAGATATAAGTAGTTTAATGTAAATACACATGGTTTGTCAAGTATAGCAAGGATGGTAAAAATTTCAGATTTTAACAAATTTTACAGATATTCACCAATCTGAGATGAGTCTTTTATACTTCAGAATGGTTCATTTTATTCAATGGATCACAGAGCAATCCTGAACCAAACACTTGCACTCTTCTTTCTGATTTTGGTCTGAGTTCGCTTCAAAATGCTAGATGCAAAGGTATAATTTATAAGGATCTAGATAAAAATGTGGGGTTGTGAATAAAAGCTGCAACAGAGTTCTTTCTGAAACTCATGATGTATTAAGTGAAAGTAGAAAGCATATAAACGAAGTACTTTCCTGTCCATTTGAGAAAGAGTACTATAAGATAACGCTTGAAGATGCTATTATCTAAATTTCAAAATCAAGCCAGGAAAGCCAAATCAACACTAAGAACAAGATGTATAATTACGCTTTGATTTTGTCAAGTTCCATATACATGACATATTCAACTTCAGTGACCTGTTTTCATTCATATGATAAATTTTAACACAATATAATCATATTGAGCATGTAATTTCAACCCTTTAAACATTTTTGATACAAAAATACAATATCATTGGCATATTCCTTCACTTGCCTACTTCTTTTATTTAACTATCTTCTCGCAAATTGGAAAATCTTATACCAGTACCATGTTGATGTGTTTACATTTTAGCCCATTCCTGAAACACCAGCAACAACCAATCTATCAACTAAATTCATTAAGAAACATTGAAAAAATTCACTTTACACATATTTTTTTTTTCAACAAAAACAGATTACAAACTGTATACAGGAAGCTTTATAAAAGTTTGTACTAAATTTGTTTTGTTAGCTTTCTGAACAACCAAGTATGGCCATTTATTAAAAGCAATTTAAATCTGTTTAATAACAAAACTTCACTTAAGATTACAAAAAATGCTAAGAACGCAGTTTCAAAAGTTAATGTAATATCTCAATCATTTTGGGGCAATTTGAATGATGAAAGTAGACAAGTAAAAATAAGTTTCAGTCAAAATGAAAACAGCAAAAAGATTGGTGCAAAGTGATGCTTTCAGAGTTCAGACATTAAAGCAATAATATTTAGACACTATTCAATGTTTGAATTCCTCAAAATTCACAAAGTAGCATTTGGAATCAAATATTTCATTTTGAAGCCAAGAATTTCACATACAAGGTGCACATACATTTCATTAGTTGTAAGTCCAAAACCTCTATTACGTTACAAAAGTATATTCGTTCCGAGAGCACTTTACTGCGCATGCCTCACAAGCGTCCTTCACCTTTTCCCGCAGAATTTCGGCATTATGCAGTGAAATTGGATATTACATCCAGATATCTTCAATTACATCACGGTGACTACAAGGGTTAATCATTTTTAAGCTTTTTATTTACACTACAACTGAAGAACTGTTATCAGACCACTTGAGTTTACTGTAATTTAAATGGGCACATTTTAGCTGTGTTTCCACTGACATAAAAAGCCGGCTCTAAGCCGGCTTTTTTGTGTTTCCACTGACAAATTGCCGAACCGTTAGCGTTCGGGAACCATAACGGTTCGGCAATTGAAGCTTTTCTCGTTCGGCAATTTATCGGGGGCCAAATGAAAGCCGGCTTTCGTTTACTCAGTGGAAACACGGCTTTTTCTCGTTCGGCAATAGGGGGCGTACTTGTCTTTCCGGCAGCGCGCGATTTAACGATAGTCTTGTACATCGCGTGCTGTCAATAATGTGCGACTTTATGATCGAGACCAAAGTCGTTCGGGAACCAGAAAAACTCAGTGTAAACGCAACGTGTTCGGCAATAAAGCTAGCTCTAAGCTAGCTTAGAGCTAGCTTTCCTTCACAATTGACAGTGGAAACGCAGTTTTTATCACGACCTTGTTAAAAGGGGCTTAAGTCACCAGGATTGATGCCAGATTTACAGTACTTTGTCATATCAGTATTTTATATAAAACCAAACTATTGGAAATTAAAAAAAAGAAATTTCTCAACCAGCACACAGGTGAAAATTGCAAGAAGAAGTATGTACACCCATCATGTTCTTGTTATCTTAACAATTATCTAAATGTTATCAAAACTATAAAAATAATTAACACCTTTTTATTAATTATTATCAGGTAATTTGAGGAGATTAAAAAGTAACAAGTTATGAGTGTTTATCAATATAAATATCAAACCTAAGGCCCTAACTATAAATAGGTACTAAAACATATCTACATATCTGACTATACTATAACAATTTGTTACATCATTATTTTCTCCCGCAAATTTGGGGAATTGAAATGCTTTTCTTTTCCTAGGTCATACGTGATACTGATATCTTAGCACCAGTAAGCCTAAACAATGTTTCGAAATGCTATCTTTATTATCAATTGTAGTTGGTGCAAATATTCAAAATTGCACTACTATCTGGCCAGGGTGAGCTAAGTACCATATGTAATGTTTTCTATCCTTTCTCAAATATTTCAAAAATATTTGTCCAATATGAAGTTTGATGAATTTAAATATGAAACCAACAAACTGCCCTCCCTGAAATTTCCTATGATAATGACCCTGTTTTGGACAGGAAAATCTCTCCTATACAACAATTTTCTAAATAATATTTTCTTTGTTGCTTGTAATAATATGTTAGAAAACACATCTGATTCACCGAACTATCATCTACAAACTGTGAAAACCTATACTTTAACTTCTATTCTGGAAACTCAATATTTACACAGTAAGTCTCCATAAATGTCTTCCTTTTTCTTACATTCAAAAAATATCTTTTTTCGCAAATATGAGTTAGATCTATGTAAATTCAAGTAAATTTTGCAATTAAATCGCTTGGAATAAATTTGTAGAATGACATATTAATAATTGTCTTTATTTTCTAGCCCATTTTTCTTTTTAGTCTTTCAAAGTCCACCTCCCATCAGTATAATTGACCAATTAAACTATCTGGTCAAGCAAATATCCTCAGTCGAATGGAGTTCATTTAAGATTCACCAGGACAATGTAAGGTATTCTATAACCAGGTTTAAATGATTAACATTACAATAACACTATGAGACCAGCTTTATTAAATCATTTATGATTGGATGTCTTTTACTTCACATATCCCTACTGCTTTGTGGGTGAAGGAAGGTTAATTTGAGGTGTAGCCATTGAATTCACAAAGATATATTCTTCTCATTATTCAAGTTTTACATCTGTATGTAATGTAAATGTAATGAAAAGATATAAAGAGTTGAAAAGAAGGCTAAATATCTGTTTAGTTGGGAAAGAAGACATGACAAAAAAGGAGTGTACAGAACAGAGTGGAATCCAATGTAGGGACTATAAAGTAATCATGAAGCCACATGTGTAAAATATAGGACTTCATTTATAGCACAGTAAATTGGTGACATACCCACCGGTTTTCTTTCACCCTAAATTATGAAAGCAGACAGGCAGTCAATTTGAGTCAACGACTAGCAAGGCTTGTGTGAGTGGATATTGGATTTCTATAATGCCAACAAGCTGGGTTTGATAGGATGGAGAAAGACTGGCGTTGTATTGATTTGAAGCAGGGGTTTTTAGATCGATTCTTACCTATTTGCAACACATTTCCAACTGCACCCCCTTCTAATAACTTTATTCCTTGATAAAAAGGCAACTTTTGGCTTTCACAGCTGTCTTTCACAGAATGTGCATAAGAAGAATACATACAAATATCCCGTTCATTTCGGGGGAACGACCAATAAACTATCCTATTTTGCACTGGCTCGGGTATCCTATCATATTGCTGTTCAATTCTCTGAAATGGGATATTTTCCGCCACAACTTTGGCCGAGATATCAAGTAAAGATTCCACATTTTTAGTATATTCCTTTTTAGAACATAAATTAGTAATCCTGTATCCATTTTCACAATAGGAATTATGTGAACGCGAAGTACACAACCTTTTGGTGGCCGCCATGGGGAAACATCTGATACTGTTCTCTCTAGGATCGACTACACATGCGTAGTGACTTGTAACAGTAAATTGACGCATGCGTATTACATAAAATGCAGGTTGCCGGGCCGGGGATTCCCTCACCTACTGGGAAATCCCTTTATAATGAATGAAAGGTCAACTAAGCACGGAATCCAGTTACACTAAATCACTCATTCATAATCTTTCATGCGAATCTATCCGGCTTTACAGAACTAAGAGTCGACAAAGAACAGGAAAATGCTCTTATTCTGTAAACCAATTGAAGTTTACACGTAATGATTTGTTCAAACAGAAAATTAGCAGATTATTATAGGCCTATGTTTAGATTTTAGCGTTAATTTCAGATTTTAGCGTTAATTTCAAACCGATCGGATATAACATTAGATAAAAAAAGAATAAATTATTCTACGCCACAAAAGTTGGTCTACAGTCACAAATGAATAACTCTTGTCGGTAAAATTCGAAATCCATCCTTAGCCTCTTTTTTTCAGCCTCGGCACAAGTTTTTCAAAGACCTAGGTTACAGTAACTTTATTTCAGCAATACAAACGGAATTCGGTTTGCATCAAATAGTATAAAATAATTGCTTGAATTAAGCAAACATAAGCCTAATTTATAGAAATTGTAAAGAGGTTTCCTAAACTTTTTTGAACGTATCGGACCACTGATTTCATTAATTTGCACCATTCTAATTTTCAATCAGACGTCCATGGTTTTTTCTAATTCCACTAAAAGTCAACGTTTTTATGACGTCACTATCGGAAAAGCTGTTAATGATATAATTTTTAGGACCTTGGCGATACAGGAACTCTAGTTGTTAGTTACGCCATTGGTTGCTAGGTACGTCACGAATTGCAAGAACCAAAGTTGGGATTGAAAATTGGAATAGTGCAAATTGGTGCAATCAGTGTCCTCTACATTTTTCAGTAAATATTTTTAGAATCGACTTTTAAATTTTTATATCCATATGACATAACCTAAATTATATATTTTCAAATCTGGATAGTTATAATTCTAAAATCACCTGAGTATTCTACTGAAATTATATCGACTTCAATTCCTCGTGGGTCAATATCAAATATAGGCCTAATTATTTTACATAAATTTCTCCGTTTGACCTATGACGTTATTTATACAGCATACGTGTTTAATATTTTTCGTGTTCAATGTATCACAATAGTAGATCCACAGTAAAAATATAATGAATGAATAAAATGAATGACATGTAGCATCTGGAGATCTAAGCCAACTATTATCCCTTTTATTCAAATACAATCAGTTGAAAATTGAAATAAAATATTTTAATAGAATCAGTTCCTATAGCTGACTACGCGACAAAAAGGTAATACAGTTAATAATAAAATTATAACTAAAAAATATATCACTTTACTTCAAATGATCTTTTAGAATATAATCAAAACTAAACTATTTTCAGCATTCTTTTCTATTTTAGTCCTATTTCGTACATGAAACTATAAAAGTTATATTAAATCAATGCTGTTTATTCTTGTTGATCATAACTTAAGCTTTCATGTCTTTTCAATGTGTTTTAATCCTTTCCATTGTAACAGTTATTCAATTGTATACTGTTTCTTTCTGTAAATATAACTATTTTTGAAACTATACCTATGAAAAAAGCTCGCGAACCATTTATTTCCGAAACAATATTCCTGTCAGCTTACGAGCTGCTCATCTCTGTAAATATAACCATGTCAGCTTTCTGTAGATATTACTATGACAGAAAGTGAACTGTTTTTTTTTTCCTGTAAATATAACCATGTCAACTTTCTGTATTCTGTAAATATAACTATATCAGCTTTATGTGAATATAGCTATGTCAGCTTTCTGTATTCTGTAAATATAACTATATCAGCTTTATGTGAATATAGCTATGTCAGCTTTCTGTATTCTGTAAATATAACTATATCAGCTTTATGTGAATAAAGCTATGTCAGCTTTCTGTATTCTGTAAATATAACTATGTCAGCTTTATGTGAATATAGCTATGTCAGCTTTCTGTATTCTGTGAATATAACTATGTCAGCTTTATGTGAATAAAGCTATGTCAGCTTTCTGTATTCTGTGAATATAAATATATCAGATTCTGTAAATATAACCAATTTTCAGCATGTGAACAGTTCCTTTCATTAAATATAAGTATGTCAGCACGTGAACTGTTTCTTTATGTAAATATAACCATGTCAGCTTTCTGTATTCTGTAAATATAACTATGTTATGTGGATATAGCTATGTCAGCTTTCTGTACATATAGGTCTACCTATGTCAGCTTTCTGTATTCTAGGGGGACAACTGTCGGGCTTGAGATTGAGATTGCCTATTTGGGGCAAAAACGTATAAAAATTATATTTTTGAAATTTCCCAGAAATAAAGTGGGGGTGCAAACTATATTTCTAAGGGGGTGGGGGGGGAGTTGGGCAAATGCCTGTACTCCCACTGGCCCCGCCTCTGGCTAAAGTCGTTCGGAAACAAGTTAAACGCTTGGAGCTATCTTTACTTTACAATTCTCGAAGGAGATGAGGACGCGGTTTATGTCAGCACGCGAATTCTTTTCTCTCTGTAAATATGCCAGCACTTGAACTGTTTCTTTCTGTAAATATATCTAGCTTTCTGTATTCTCTAAATATAACTGGTTCTTTCAAAAACTATATCTATGATAGCTCGAGAAGTGTTTCGTTTCGTTAATTTAACTATGGTTGCATGTGAAAATGCTGAGGTAGCTAAGTCAGCAAGTTAAATACATATTTCTGGAACTATAACAATTCCAGCTCTTGACTTTGTTAATGGCATCAGTATCAGTAAGGCCTGTCCGCGTTCTAGAAGTTTTTGTGATATAGAGGACTTTTACTGTTCTTACAGTCAGGGCCGGCGGTCCGTTTAGGAAACAGAAAGGGGCGTTCTTTTTCGAAATTTATCCGTACCCAAATGACCATCTTCTGCAGAAACAAAGTGGTCAGTATATTTTCACTGAGTTAACAATCAATTGTTATAAACATTACTGCGTGCCAGGTTTGACAGGTTTAGACAATTTGAATAACCCGGCCAAATATGCCAATAACTTGTTAAACAAACTCAGCCAGCAAGACGTTGGTACGATTTCCCATCTATAAACCTCTCTTCTTATGGCAGCCCTTACAATTCCAGATTTGGGAAATTCTATAGCTAGTAGAGACTAAATTAATGTTAAGAATTAATCCTTGATTCCCGAATTATGATCATATATGTTGTCAACTATATTTTTCTTAAAGCATTGGATTCGCGTCCAACAAACATGAACTCTATAATTATACACACAGCTTTATGGAACAACAATCACTGGTTAAGTTTTATGCAACGTTTCGACGTGTTTCCCCCGTCGTCTATATATCGTACTCACAACTGCTAAATACCATTCAAAGACTTTAAACATGAACTCTGTCTACCTGTATCGACAAGGAAAATATACCATATCTTACAATCTAATGCCGTGTGTTTCTTCGTCCAAAAAGACGGACTGAGGTGACAACTGACTAACAAGGGTAAAGTGGTCGAAATGACGTGATAATCGAAGTGGATCAAAAATCTCATCAGATTTGTACGGTGTACTTCTTTCCAAAGGAATGCATACAACCAGATTGTCCATGAGTTCGTTTGTCCCGATCGAATGTTGAATGGGTTACATTCCATTTTTTTTACTTGTCACTTGTCCCAATTAGACAATATAGAACGTGAATTGATATCCGTGTATACCAAGTTCCGAATACACATCGATGGACAAGAGGCTTAATAAAATGACCGCGGTCAATCCGTGGATAATTTCAGTCCAAAGAGATTAGTTACTGATCATTTGTTGTCCTTAACGAGCTGGCCTTCTGTTTACAGGTTCACTACATTGTGTTTATTTTCTCGGGAGGACAATGTCCACGTATCGCACTGACCGGTATTATAGCGGTAAGATCAAAGAGATCATCCTCATCATTTATACAGGTTATATTGACAGGTAGACTTTACTCAAGGACGAATTTAAAACAGGCTGGTACATAGGCTTTTGTTTCTTGGTCAATTTGTGTGAAATGTACCAGTTAAAAAAAGTGCAAATTATTTTGTTCCACCTATAACTAGTCATAAATCTATCGAATTGCAAGTTTTCTTCAGTCAAAAACTTGTTTCATGAACAATGAATAAGCATGTCAACAGCTTAGTGATTAGGGTGGTTAAAAAGAAACCAAATGACCGGAAAGGCGCGCTTAAAACTGTTAGTCGTTGCATCACAAGGGCCCAATCAATATGTGAAGGGTGGTCAATCGCAGTTTGTATCGTTAATCTTTGTAAAGCAGATTTCCTAAACAAAATGACGTAATTTGAAATCCATTTGTCAAACAATTAGAATTATTATCAATTAATCCTATCTGAATGGTCTTCACTTTCTGTGTGTAGGCCTAATCTATTAACTTGAATTTGGTCCTGATTAGATTTGTAACCTTGACAATTAATGAAGTTAAATTAGCATCTTCGTAGGGTGCTGTCTTGGTCAGAAAAGATTGTATACAACACGGATTAGCGACTATTAATCATTTCCAAATGCTATAAACAGGCTCTACCCTGACTTAAAGTTAATAATCACACAAAAGATAAAGGAATGAGATGACACGGGATTTAAATGTTCCTGAATGTTGTGGTATACTTAGTTCATGTTTTGCGAGAACAATTCTTTGTTATCTTGTGGATAATCATGTAGAATGTTTTTAAGTGGAGAGATAGAAGGCCTATGGTGTTTTCTCACAATAACATCTGGAAAATTCTGACAAACATGATCGTCTGAAAGAGGCATTGCAGAAGCGTATAGCCTACTGCTTGATTTTGATTCAAATAAATGAGTCGAATGTGTTAGTTTCTTAGTACGCAGATCTGATCAATGATTATATATCACCTCCAAGTGATTAATTTCTTCTAGCAACCATGTGGATTGGATAATGTACCACACTCGACCGCATCCTATTGTCCATTGAACGTCCTCAGGCACGTGTATCTCGTTTGTAATCAAGATCTCATTCAGATTCTAGATCAGAGTCCAGCACAATTGAAAACTTTCTGGTTCAATGACCAGCTCAGTTTCATCATTTGAAATGCCACATGCGCTCGTTACAAAATCTCTCCTGATCATCGAATAGCGGCATAGACCTTTGAACAGTTTCCCATAAAGACCATGGTTCACCATTTGCGTAGGTAGATCGTGACCATAGAGTTATATAACTCTATGATCGTGACTACACCGATAATTAATTTACGTATTTTAGAGACAGATCACCAAGTAGATACATACCATGCAATTGTATTACTTGGTTACAATTTGGTTGCGCTATTTCAAGATATTATATTCATAAATGGTCTTCTGACTCTGCCGACGGCATTGAGAGACAGCTAGGGTGTTTCAATCTAATCCGCAAACACAGGAATTATTCAGCTAAGATAATCATTAATAGTGTTCATAACTTTCCGTTGAATTTTCAGCCTTTTTAGCTATGTCTATCCATAATTATCATAAATACAGCTAAGTAACCTAATTTCGTGGTAACCTATTTTTCGCGGATTTCCGGAAACGTTTAATAATTTACATGTGCGACCTTGCGCGACCACCGCATTAGCTTGTTTTGATAAACAAATGAATCCAGTAGTTTCAAGCAAGGTAACATGAATTGTGTTTACTTTGACAAATACAAAATGGCGGATTTCAGTTATTACCAAACGTCACCATTATTTATCGGCCGAATTTCCTTATAATCCCAAGCGGTAATCGGAATTCCAAGTGTCGTCTGCTAGAATGTAGTCCAAAGTCACGTGATCAACTAGCGAATTCCGTGTCAGCAGAACATTTCTATGGAACACAAAGTGAACCATATTCGTATGTTGTTTTAGCGACTTTTAGCAAAAAAATCATGCTACGTATCTTATTTGGTCAGTCACTATTTTTTTTTTTAAAAAATCGTTGTTCTTTGAAGGAATTCTCACTAGTTATAATGAATTGATATTAAAGATAAATACTAAGAGTAGTTAATTATACCACCCGGTATCCATACAACGTGTTTATCTAGACTTATTTATAGATCAAACATTGTACACGAAAATAGGTAACGCATTCTGCCGCCGTTCCCGAGTTGGTTGCTCCTGAAATATGGGTCAAAGTGAAGGATTCATAAAGAAAATCGAAATAAACCAATTTTAATTAATTTGTAGAATATCTGAGGAAACATCTAAGACATAAAAAAAAAATCGTTTTTTTAACTTTGCTTATATCCACGAAAATAGGTTACACCACTGTATTAATATAAACTGTATTTGGAAATTACCTTGATGTCAAGTCTTTTTCCAATTTTCCGCCACAATGTAGAACGGTTGATATAAAAGGCGATATCATGAGATTTTAGCACAGACTTAGTTTAAATGTTGACCAACCTCATAAATTTTATGTTGATCAGTTTTAGAAACACTGTTGGGATTATATTTTAAAGGTGGACCAAAATGGCTCCTTTAAACCAAACCTACTTTCTATGACCCAGGGCTATCAAATGTCGCAACTTAAGCCGGGCGTCCACTTGAGAGTTTTTGTGCGAGTCTTGGCGAGTTACTCGCGAGAGAACTGCTAGTGCTCTTTCCATTTGAAAGCAATTGAGAGTAAATTTTATTACATCAGAGAGTTTGTCCTATCAACTAACGCAGAAACTTTCAAGTGTCCTTCCACCTGAGAGACAAAATACATTCGCGAGCTGCTCGTGGGAAGGGCGAGGGAGTTGCACGACATCTTGCCAGTTTGATTTACAACTTCCGATTGGAAAATGTTGTTGTCCAAGAAAAAACGAATTGCTGCGGCTATAATTATAATCGATGGTAAGACGAAACAAAGAAAAAGAGTGCAAAAGGTCTTTTTGTACCGATTCGGCCAAGTTCTTCCATGCATCGTTCTTTTTCTGCCTGTCTCGAAACTCAGATGATTGAACATCCCAAAGCACAGGACGATTTGCATATTCTGTGATGAGGCGCTCAATCTCTTCACGCGTCCATTCCGTACGTTTCGACATATTTCAGACTCAAAGTGTGGCCTGTATATATGATAGGCCTGTTTATAAAAAGCTGACAGATCTGGCAGAAATAGAACACCGTTCTATTCTTTGAGAGTGCTCTCAAACACAAATCTGTGTTCGACAGCTTGTAGCAGACCCGCTTCCACTTGACAGAAAATCACTCGCCACAGTTCTATCGATAGCTGGGTTCGGATGTCTGACATTTTATAGAAGACCCCCTTTCACTTAAGAGAAATCGCTCTCAGCAGTTCTATCGAGAGTTGGTTGCGACTGTCCGACAGTTGCTCGCAAAATACCTTCCACTCACGAGTTACTCAAGTGGACGCCCGGCTTACCTTGTTCAAGTTGCTTATAGCCCTTTGGTGAACCTCACTAAGCATTTTGTGGAGGTCGATCAGAATTCAGAAATCCAACATCTTTCAATGGATGAATCCCCTTCTTGCAATATATTGGTTCTTCTAGAGGCTTGCATGTTGTGTTCTTTACGTGTTACAGCACCTATATCTCGTACTCTTGCATTGTTGTAAACGCTAGAGTTTGATAAGGGACTGATATCACAATGTACATTATATGCATATCAACGGATTTTGAAACACGAAAGTATAACTGCTCTGGTTATCAAACCTCATCTGCCTCATGATCAAATTGCATGGCTTATTTTGCAATGTCAACGTCAAAATTTGACAATGTGTCTTAGATATTAGACCTCATGCGCTATGTATATCCATAATTATAACATCTATCAAAAATATTAAAATTGACCCTATTTGGAAATTATATTGATGTCTCGGCTTTTCCAACGTTTCGACATAATGTAGAATAGTTGAGGACAGGATAGTTCTCATGATAATACATCGAGTACAAGACAAGAAAGCAGCTAAAATTCAAAGAGAAAACTTTCAATATGACCACATACAGATATATAATGTTGATTTAATATTTATTGACCTCAAATCCACACAACAAGCAATTCAAACGTTTGTTGAAAGGGTTGGATTTTCTGTGTAACTCAAAAGGTATACCAATTAAAATGGCAGTCTGAAATTTTTACCTTGTTCCCATCCTATAACTATAAGGTAACTGAGAAACCTTGTGGAATTTTTTTTAAACATTTCCTGATACCAAATTGTAATTAATTAATTCAACAACCTCAGTCAACTGTTAAAGCAATTGATGATTTTTTTTATGAAGGATTAATTCACTTTGCTTTAAGTGGGTAACAGGAACAGGAAATTAAGTTGATTAAGATGTTCTCATGATTTATATACACATATATATACAAATGATTGATGAAGATGATACTGTCTCAAACAACCAGTCTGTAGCTGACGTATCTTCCAGCTGTTTCACTAGGCCTGATAATCTTGACTACCTGAAAAGAAAAACAAAGACAGAATAACCATTCGAAATATTCAACTTGAAAGAAAGAGGTAACTGAGTAGTCCATTCATTAAAGAATACTACCTCTTACAATGGACAAAATTTTTAAATTTAAGAGTTGACTTTTTTAAATGCTTTGTAATAATTACTTGTGTATATTAGGCCCTGAAATCATCACAAATAGTCTAAAGTCATATTTTATTCACCAGTCCTGATCAAGTTTTTTTTTTTAACTAGTTTAAAACCCTAATGCAAGTAGTTGAATAATAAAATATGGTTCTCACTTCTTGGAATATTTTTTTACCACAGCTTTCTGGATAGTTAAGTTTAAGGGTCCTAAAGAGAAGGTGTCCTTTACTAACAACCAATCAAGCTTTTATCATGCATGGAACATGTAGTATGACTAGTAGTGCCATTTTGCATCATAAACTAAATGCATATTTTTATTGAACAGTTAACTAAATGCATTCAAGAATGTTCAGTATAATATATGTAATATATATATAAAATTATATAGTTAATAACTGAATATGAATTTTTTTCTAATTTTTTTTTTTAATATTCAAAGAAAAAAAAAATTAAAGACCACTATGGCCCATCGTTCTCCTTTCATAGTAAAATATCAAGCCCTTTTGATGTAAAGATGTTTGAATTACAGTAGTTCACCTTAATTCATATTGGCGAATGTCACCGAACAACCCTCTCAATGCCCTGATTAGATGTGAAGCTTAATAATGGTGCCATGCACGTCCGACATTGTCCATAGGGCTGTTCATTGGTCCGTCCACAATTGCTTGTAAACTCACTAGAAGTCAGAATTATTTACAGATTTTGACAAAACTTGGTGTAATATCACTCAAGGATGAACCCCAAAAATTAGAAAAATACTTAATATGAGTACAGCCTTTTGAAAAAGCATTCAATTTTTAAGCTAGTAAACACTTCAAATGGCACAATTCTTCAGGGATGAAACTTGGTGTGCATGTTTGTAATCACCCAAGGATGAACAGTATTGAAAATAAAAAAAAAATTCAACAATATCAAGAATGAGTTATAGCGTTATAGCGTTCTAGCTTGTAAACGCTCTGCACAGCACAATTCTTGTGACAATTGTTCATTATCACCCAAGGGTGACCCAACACTCTAGAAGGCCAAATTCTTGACTCATTTTGACGAAACTTGGGGAAATTGCTTGTCCTAATGAAAATCAGTACATCAGATGATTATGAGTTATTGCCCTCATTTGTCGACCCACATAGAAGACACAAGTCTTTACACCCTAAATTAAAAATTCAAGCTAATAAAAACAAATGCTATTGTAAGTTAGACTGCCAAACCAGACAAACTGCAAGGTGTCCTAGACAGCCAAACCAGATAAACTACTTGATGGCCTAGACTGCTGAACAAGATAAGTTAATTGATGCACAGGACTACTTGATGACCTAGACTACAATGTCAGAATAAGTGAATGGTGTCCTAGACTACTTGATGGCCTAGACTGCCAAACCAGATAAACTACTTGATGGCCTAAACTGCAAGACCAGAATATGTGCAAGACATCAGAAAGTTGAGATTGAGAAAGTTTGCAAGGTAACTAAAGCTTTAAAGACAACTGCCTGTTCCTACAAACTTAATTGATCCATTTCTTCTAGCCTTTATTATCCCTGAATATCCTAGAAGAAATTTTAATGGCCTGAAACCTGAGCCACTAGCAAAGCTGTACACACAATGGAATAAAAAGTGCATTAATTGAACAGTTGTGACATTGTGTAATCTGTATGTCAGTGTTTCCTGTAGTTCCTTATTTTCACCAGACCAAACTGTAATTATTTACTTTATAACGATGAAATCTCACTTTCTCCCGAGACAGTAAAGTATTCAAAATATTGTTGGATAAATATAGGTCTGTTATATACTGTATGAATATTGTGTGAATTAACAAGTTCATATCTGATTACTTAGCAATACTGAACAATACTTGTTATATTATGCTATAAAACTAAAAAAAATCTCTTCATAAAATTTATTCATATCTTCAGCAAAACTGTTCCATCTTATGACTTCTTCAAGACTTTTTCAGGTCTCTCTCTAATATAACATTTTCAGCTGACATTTTATTCCAAGTCAATGACACATCTTCTTATTTTCATAAAAATAATGGTATGATAATAAAATTTCTTGCTATCAAAGGACATATGGACTATAATGAGTCTCTTTAGGCCCTGTTTTAAACCAATCAAAAATTTTGTTGCTTCAGGAATGTTTGAAGGCTATGATGATGCCCTCTAGAGACTGAATCTAACCAATGGAAATCTGTGTAAATTTATGAACTGTCCCTAAAGGAGAGTTTATGAACATTGTTACCCTATTACTGAGATAATTAAAGTGGGGGTTGAGGTCTTTTATTCTAGATCAAAGAATTTCTTACTGGGCTATTCATTAGAAAAATCTCCCAATAAGAAATTGGAAATGTTGAAAATATTGAAATAATATGCTGCTGTGTGTACTATCTTTCATATATATTTAAGAGCATGTACATGTAAATGCCTAATACCTGGTTTTCATCAAGCTCTTCAATAAGCTAGTTTAGGAGCCAAGGCAGTATGACATTAGAGGTATTGCAGTCGGTAATTTGAAATTTCTAAACCTATAGTTCCATGGAAATAGCATGCGATTGAAAACTTCTTTTGAATATTTGTGACATGAGAACAAAAAAAACCCATTTCATCATGGTTGGAGAATAGGTGCATGTCATGTTTGCCTTCGGCACCTATCCCTGCACACTGATCAAAATATAAAGATCTATTAAAATACACAGGCACATCAGTCAAATCTAATATACATATTTCATTTTAAGGTTGCATGGACAAGCTTTCTGACACTATTTCATCTAAAATGGCAGTGAGATATCTAAATTAATCATGATTGACATGAAATGAGCTTTCATTATTATTCACAATATCTGATGGCTTTTTATTTTGTATTAATGACTACAACTGACTGTTGGTTTTATTCCTGTGTTTTTCTGTAACAGATGTAATATTGTCAATACTCAATCTTTTTAATTTATTCACCTTGTTTAAGATCTACATTACTGAATAGACCAACAGCACCTGATGCCACTATGCTTTTAATATATAATACATTAATAAAACATGACTGATTGTTGATATGAGTGATCATTGACAATTCTTTCAATACAAAGGGAATATTGTTATTATTGCAAGCAAAGTTTTTCAATGGAAAAAAAAGAATTTTTAAATACTTTTAGAAACTAAATAATTTTTCCATTCCAAATATCCAAAGCATTTGAAATCTTGGGGAATTCAATACTTTTGAAGCAATGCGCTTTGTTACATTTTCAAGAGAATATGCAATTTTTTTGATATTAGTTAATTATGCAAGGGTTTGTCACTTAGGTACATTTTCTTTCTTCTGCGACTAAGTGAGTAGAATTTCTTATTTATGGCTTTTGTTCTCCGGAAATGTTGATGTAGGTAAATTTGGTCCATTTCCAAATCAAATTAATAAATATTTAAAAGAAATACTTTAATATTTCTAGGTGCTTTAAGCAAAATCAGTACAATGCTGAATTGTCCCAGATCTGATAAAAGTTGACAAATTCACTAAGTCTGCAAGAAACTGTGGTAGGTTAACGCTTTTATCAATATGAGATATAATATTGTATTATAGAACACACTAACTTTTTCCGCCTGACAGAATCTTTAGTATTCACTCCAAATTGGTATTGTGACTCTACTAAAAGGACTTGTGTCTGTTTGCTGAAGGGCATTGTTCTGCCAGACTAAGAACATAATTAGGGATCAACATTTATTATCTTGACGTGTGTTCAACTGTCAGTCTATCCTAGCCTCCATTACGATATGGTGGAAATGGAATAAGACTTTAAAACATACTGTTATAGTTAGGTACATGGCTTATGTAAATGGTCAATGCTTTTCAGAGTGCAATGTCTGACATTCTGTCACCCTGGCACTTTCTTATTATTATAAACTGTTGTTTGATAAGTTTTAGATGTAAACTCCACTGCTGACAAAGGAGACCAAAATATCAATGGCTTTAAAGATGGGAGAAAATATCTAACTGCCCTGACTTTAAAAGACTTTAAAATGGTTTCTGTCAATTGCAACTTCAATCACTGTCTTACAGCTGTTTAACATTGCATAGATCGTATAAGGAAAATTGACTTCATATTCCAGGGAAAACTCCTCAAATTCCAATATCATGACAAGTTAAAAACAATCTTTCCTTTCATTTCTTCTCTTTGTCCTACTAAACATTACTGATATGAAGAGTTAGAAGATTTAATGATAGGCTATTACATTACCAAGACAACAGCCAATCATAACTGATTAGACAATGATATATGAGCCTGATTAACCAATGGGAATAGGTTTTACAATGATGAAATTAAGACTGTGATTAATAGCAGTATGGATGAGCTGGAGGATGAGTATTTACGCTGGCATGTGACAATGGATTTCCTGTCACCCTTATACTGCCATTAAAAAGTCTAATTGCAGCTAAATTCAAGACTGTTTGGATCTTTACAGTTCAAGTCTTTTCACAGGACAGTTTGCAACATCATAAGACCATTCTAAATGGATCACTTCTTGGTCTGCTTATTACATTTAGATTATTCATATGTATTCATTCTGTATATAGCATGAAATAATAACCAAAAAAGGCATGAGGAAAGATTGAAAACAGAGCAGGACTATTATTTTTCTTTATTTTGGTGACAGCATTTCCCTAAAATCTAAGAACATGGCTCCTACTAAAATACTTCCTGTGTTTAACTATCTTAACACAATTTATTGTTTATAATTTTGTACAAATTCACAACGATATAGTTAGCTTATACAAACTATTTCATATCCCAGACCATCCTGTGACATCATGATACATCTAGTGTAGCAGCAGAATAGTTAATAAGAAGAGAGACAGCACAATCGATAACAAGGACAATCAAATACAGCCAATAAAACACACACTAGTCCGTCAATAACCTTGATACTATCAAACATAACCTTCATATTACATCACACACACAATTCTTCACCATCTGGTTATACAGTTCTGGGTCAAGGATATTGATTCCTCATTGAAGCAACATTTCTGAACTAAGACTAATAAGGGCTTTGTGAGAGATATATCTGCATATTGCCTTATATTTCAAAATTCAATGTGATATTTCCATATATACACAAACCATGTATAATAATCTTGAAATAAGAAATTAAAGAATAAAAAGATAATTACTTGATAAGAATATCACCAAGACTAGAAATCATCTTCTACTAAAATTGATGTTTTAATTGATCATGCTAACAATATCATGAAACAATATTTCTAAGATGCAAGTGAAAATTGTGAAAAACATTTCTAGGTGACCAAATACTGATCTTTCAATTATTGATTTTTTGAGATATGCCTTACTCTTAGTGAGAGCATGGAGTTCACTGGTACTCTTTAATTATTGAGATTCTATAAGGCAAGATGGCCTTTCAGACAATCACTAATTGGCATGATGTTAATAGTAGTAATTTTATTTTATTAGAATAGAAATTTTGCGTATCATTTCATTGGGCAAGACAAAAGATGACCATCATTAAGAGTTTGATTAATTAACATAATTGTTCTATTGTCATCACATATGTTCTATTCTTTTTCAGGAACAGACAATGGTGCCATCAATAATAATACATGAAAACCAGATCAATTGCAGACTTTTAAGTGAACACAAAATTGTAACCTGCATTGTATTTTTCATATTCAAATTCAATAAAACATCTGATCACCCTGAGTTGATAGTTGAAATCAAACAAAAATCAAACAGCTGATATACATTTATGAATAATCTAAACTGGCCACAACAGCTATCATATCATGTTATCTTTCTATATCTCACTATCAATTAATAAAAAAAAAAGTATAACTTAATGTAATACTTTGACAACATGTGTTAATAAATGAGTTGATATTCATTTTATATGTAGCATATATCTCAATAAGTTTCAACTGGTGTGAAGGGATTCATAATCCCAAATACTAATGTTGTTAAATTCACTTGTGATGGCAAACCTAATCTTTCAACACGTTGAATATCCTGTACCCAAGCAGCAAACTTCATCAACAAGAAATGAAAATTAAAATGGAAGACCTCAACAGATGGCGACCAGAGAATAGTAACACAAAAAACTACTAAACAAAACAGGGATTCAATTGCTCCTTCCAGCTAACCAATTTCTATTAAAAACCCTAATCTAGCCCTAGAAAAATGGTAACAACTATAGGTGAGAGTCTAAACACCCTTAATAACAACCCTTATTATTGCAGACAGAGAATTCAAAATACCACCATAAAGGAAATGGTTTGACTTTTATTCATTCGACTTATTTTAACATTATTGATAATGCCCTCAGGCAATACGGGTTAGTTTTAAGGGCTGGATAATTGTCTTAAGAATTGTTTAGTTTCAATAAGCCTATTTAAACACTGGACAATGGGGAACAAAAAGTTACTGGATTATAGGAGATAGGGGGTGGGGCTAGCCTGTAGATCCCTGCGGTGAACATCACATGGGGAAGACATACTACTCAAGGGTATAACTGTCACTGAAGTTAACAATCCATGATTCCTGGATTTAAATTGACCAATCACCAAGCTTGTTTACTAATTAAGATAAATAATATCAATTTTTTATAAGTTGACCTCTAGTTTAAGGGCAGTGATAGAAGTTCAGTCGGTCAATAAACTTAGTCTTAAAATCAATCATTCCTTAATACAACAGACAGAAACTCATCTCTTATTACCATGAGAGAAAAAAAAATATAGGAAAGACAAGAAGATATTCATACTCTTGATTAATGAAATCTTCACTCCACATCAATAGAGACGGTGATTTCATTCATTAATTAAAACTGATGTCTCAGATATAAAGAGAAAATCAGTGGGTGCAGTTATCTATACTGAAGAAAAATCTCAAAAATGCGCAAAGCACATTATAATAATGAACTGTAAGAAAAGGCTATAATATTTATAATGAATCAATTCGAAACTTTTTAGCAGTGTGTAGTAAGTTAAAGTATTCTGACCAAATAATTTTGGATGAGCTCTAATCTTTATTTTTGTCAATCTTAATCCGACACACCATAAAACTATCATCATAATTACAGTACTAACCTGTCCACGTTTTAAACCAAAATATCTGGCCACTGGATCACCTTGTTGAATACGGGGAATCATAGCTTCTTTCAATTTACTATATATTGCTTAAGGAGAAATGATTTGCAAAAAAGAAAATTCAATAAATGCAAAGAAGTAACATTATATAAAACTATAAAAGGCAACATATAAAATATTGTGAATAATCTTGAACATTTCTTTCATTGTTTTTTGCTACAGTTTGTGAAAATTATATAAAATACAGAAAAAATGACACATGGAAAAACCTTTGTATGATTTTATCCGATAAAATGGAATTCCCATGTTAAAGATTTTATCATTACATTTTATTATCATTTATTATGTAGATTCAATGATTCATGATAATTGAAAAGATATTAGGAATATAAATGAACACTTTTATACGAAATCCATATAATTTCCATATTTATCATATTTTAGATAATATGAACTCATTAGCATACAAAGGAACAAAGAAATAATTACCATAAACTTATCAATACAAGGGAGGTAACTGCATTTCATCTAATTGTAATATCAGACTACAAAAAAATCACATTATAATTGATGATGCCAGCAAAAACTAGGGCTTGTGGCAAGTCTCGCAAGCGAATACGCCCACCAGCAGCTTGATAAAGAGCTTAATGTGAACTGTAAAACAAACTCTATATTGTAGCCTGTAGGCTGAGCACAAGCCAAAAAAGTGAAGAAACACGATATGCGATATCTCTAAAGAAAATCATCAGATCCTCAACAAATTCAATAGAGCACATCTTCATAATCATACTAACACATACTAAAGATCAAAAGAATCAATAGAGAATTGTAGTCTGTAGAGTGAGCATGAGCCAAAAAAGTGAAGAAAAAAAAACTAACGCGATATCAGAGTTTTATGCGATATCTGTAAAGAAAATCATCGGATCATCACCAAATTCAATAGTGCACATCTTTATAATGATATTGACACACATACAAAAGATCAAAAGAATCTATAAAGAATTGTAGCCTGTAGAGTGAGCACGAGGCAAATGTGAACGGACGGACCGACAGGGGCAACCACAATATACATATACGTATAAAAAAATCACTAATCTTGAAGCAGTTAATACAAAATCATGACCTGGTACTTTAGATTCAAGATGAAAGAATCTAAACAAGCCAACTGTACCTCTCGTCAGAATTCAAAGGATACTATCGGACTAATAATTCAGCTTTTTCTTCTGGTGTCATGACAACATGTTCAGGTACCAACTGAAATCAAAAACAATATGAAAATATAGTTCTATATGCCCATAACTGGAGATACCTACATGTATATACTTAATGTTGAGATATACAGTATACTCTGTGTAATCCAACATACACTGAGATCGTAAAACAATGCGGATTAGGGAGAGTGTTGGAGTACTCAGAGTTCTGAGATTTTTTAACATGTGCTGCATGTTACTATATTTATCCCAGTGACCCAGGAAAGATTCTACGGTACCTTCTGGTGCAAGACATAATAAAGGATGATTCATTCGTATATATTATTTTTAACTAATTATTCATATTTAAGTACACTGTATTATGTAAATATGATAATATATTTATTTACCATATGTTCTGTGATGTTAACTAATAATTCAGCCTCTATAAACTGTTCTAGAGTATATTTATCTGATAATTCTACTAGTGCCTGGAATAGTACAATTTAATCTAAAATAAGTGCATGTATTGCTAAGATATCTGTCAACAAATATTGATTGGTCAAGAGATCAGAAATCAAGAAAAATCATTTGGTTGTTACAGGGTAGAACTAACAATATGATAAACTATACTGGTCAGGTATGAAGAACTGGTATGGCCAGATTTGTCAGGCTATATGTATATCTATGAGAGACACAACCCTAAACAGAGTATGAGAGCTACAAAGCTAATAGAAAATACCTGTTTGGAAGAGGGTGTCATACCAACTTGTACAACTATTACAGCTCTAGTTATATTTTCCTCTTCCATTCTCTTTATATAGGGTCTGAGAGTCTTGATACCAACTCTAGGTTCATCAGGAAAAAATACAAACATCTGATCTGTAATAAAGTAAATATAAGGTGAGAAAAAAAAAGATTCAAACCAATTAACAACAGAATGATTAGAATAATGAAAGAAGGTTACCAGACTTTCACATACTGGCATTGAATGAGATTTTAAACCTTCAAGCACCCTTTGTTTGATGTAACCACACAATTGTGGTAAGTAAGTATCGTTAAAAGAGCAAAGGCCAAAGTCATGATACTATTTATACCTGAGTGATGTACAACCACATTTAAGTCAAAGTATATTATTTTATCATTGAGTAGGATGGGATTTTTCCAGCATAAAAAAATATAAAAGAAAGAATAAAAAAAGTAGCAATAGAAGTACCTGTAGGGTCATCATTGTGAGCAACTAATACAATCAAATCACTTCTCCCAGGCTTCCTTTCACTACAGAAAAATAAAGAATCATTAGAAATTCCAATAAAAAAATGGATGGATTTCATTTTTAATGTTACAGTTTGAAAAACTAACCTATATGTAAACTAGTTCAAATTCAAAGATTATGGGTTGTCGTTGAAGTATGGATGTCCGAGACTCTAAAAACATTTACCTTGGTTTGTCTCCAAACTGAGCTTTGAATTCATCTAAAGTTTGATCCAATTCATCTTGTGTAACCAAATAACCTCGGTCATGGCACAGCTTGATTGAAATTGAAAAAAATGTTGAATCAATATATTGGTGTACATGAGTATCCAAATTACTAAAATAAGTAAAACCTAACTAATCACAGTGAGTTCAGATTTTTTCCCCTGTCATTTCACAAATATTTAAAATAAAATTTTAAATTTCGAACTATTTTTCCAGTGGTTAACATTTTCATCACATCCTTAACACTGCATAAAATATGCAAAAAAAAATTCCGCTCAAGCAGCATGCTATAACATCAACTACTCAACAAAGATTTTATCATTAACAGACGTCAATAACAACTAAGCTTATACAATTTATCATTATGATTTTATTGCACACCCCAATCAATCAATCATCAACTTTTTAAGATGGTCTTAGAAGGCTTGAAGCCTTACCATAGACAGAAAACAGTATGATCAACCCCAGGCCAAAGACAATCTATGACTGTCAGTAGTATTTTGTAGTTGATAATTCAATTGATACAAAAATGATTGCCAAAATTCAATTCAGAAAACATTGTAGTCAGATATGGGATATTGATTTAAGTTCAATACTGACTAGGGAGGGGAAATGCATGCCATAGTCTGTAGGTGTAGGCACCTATAAAAGACCCAATTATACAAAAAATATTGCTATTTTAAATCTTAATTTATCTTCAACGTTCATCTTGTCAATATAAATAAAGTCAGAATCAGAGTAGAGACCTGCATAACTGTTTTTCTGATTCGCCATAATTTGTAAGTCTCTTGTTCGTCCTGTTCCATTCTTTTGACTCAAAATAATCAAACAAAATCAGATATTTTAATACACGTGTAATGCATGTGAGAAAAATAAAAGAAATATTTGTAAACAACTAACCCGGAAGTCGGCAATCCGGAGCCTTAATATTTTGTTTCGTAAATTAAAAATAAATTTCTTTTTTTATGTCTATGTATTAACACGTTAGCCTATTGATTGGGTTTTTAAAATTGTGATTGCTTTCTTTAGAAACAAAATTTCGATATAAAATTCCATTACAAGATCTTTTGTTTGAGATGATAAATTTAGAGAATACGCAACCATGACTTTCTGTTTTTGATATAATTTACGAATAACCAGTCTTGAAATAAATACGAAGAAGGTTGATGTCCATCGGAGGACAAATTAAACCAAGACTAAAAATGCTCTCTCAAATCAACAGAAAGTTATTGGCTTGTGTGACGACCACGGGACTCGGGTCAACTTTGATTGCTGGTTACTCAACAAGGGCAAAAGTTATGGTATTAACATTTTCATTTTTTTTCTCGGCTTGGCTTCTTTCTTTATTGTATTTCAGACTTTAGACAGTTCTAGAGACAGTATGCGATTGGTATGTAACAAGACTAACAACAGCCTTTTTCTTTGTATTGCATTATTGGCATCCATTCTGGACTGGAAGAGGAATATCAACTGTCACTGACTATGATGATTTTAATTTCACTGGCAATGGCAATGAATCATTTTGGTTCTGAGTGCTGATACACCAAGTGAGCAAATGTTGAATTTAAAGGTTTAATGACTGAATTTTAAAGATAAAACTGGTGACTAGGCTTTAACACCAACAGCTTTCTTCAAGTTGAAGTGTATCAGTCTAGACATTCCAATTTCATTCAAACACATACTGGACTGGTATTGATTAAAAAATGTAAGGTTATCAACAATATTTTCCATATCTATACTAAATACAATTTATATGATATCTTAGATCAGTATTGTGTATTGACTATTGATACTATTATAAAAACAAAATAAAAAGTTTTTAGAAATTTTTCAATTAAATGCTTCACAGCCGAAAAATCAATGATGTAAGCTTACTGGTGCTACAGGAATACCATTGCATTGCTAAAAATATTCATACATCAACATCAATCAATAGTTTCACTTTATTTTTTAAAAATTGTGATTGTTCAGTATAATTTTAGGAATATCTCTTGTGTGACGCTATTTCCTTCAATCTAATATTGCCATTTTGCAATAGGGGTGGTTGTAATGTGCTTTACATAATATAAAATCAAAAATATGATTGCTATTAGTAAGGCTGTACCAAAATAATTTCTGCTCATCAGGAATTCCGTACACGATTTTTCAATCTCGAAATTTTATTTTTAAAATTAAAAAGTAGAAATCCCTATGTATCGATGAGCTCCATACATACAATTTTGAATTTTTTTTTTTTATTTTGAATAAAAATTATATTGTCTGTACATGTATTTCAGCACGAAAAGCATTTTAATTTTGAGGGAAAAAAAGGGTATCAGAGTCTAATTTGAAATTCAAACGTTTTCTGTACAAGACATGAATATTGTACAAGACAGTGATAGGAACACATATGGTGTTGTCAGTGATGATTCCCATTTAGAAAGCGATTTACAATTTTATTCAACAAATAGTGACAAGCTGAGGTCTAGACCTCTGCAAGCCAGAAATCGTTGAAACACTGGCTGTTTACAGAGTTCTAATGAAGGTGTGTTTTTCTATAAATATTCTATTTCTTTTTCCCCGTTTGGTTGGATGCCATAAAAATACCAATCAAAGTACTCATGAAAATAATGGCCATGAATTGAATGATTGTTGATAATTAAGGTCAAGGACTCGTTTAATTTTTTTTTCTTATGAAATTTAATTTTGAATTAAACAATTTTTCCATTTTGATTTTTGACCAGTTTTCAAAACTGCAGACCTATCATTTATTTTTGAATTATATACAAATAAGAGGCACCTAGATCTATTTTCTCTATTAAGGCCAAAATTTACAATATAACAAAAGCATTTTCAAGTCTCATTTGAAACAAAAATTGTATTTTGTAATTTTCAGGAACTCAGGTAATTCATGAGATAAAGGAAGTACCCCCCAAAAACTTGTGACAGTCATGAAATTTTTTTTGAAGAAATTCTGAAGAACAGAAAATAATTTTGGTATGGCCCAAAGGTTAAGTTTTTTCACTTCAACAAACTAAAGTTTACTCAGTCACTATTGAAAGTACATAATGGTCATTCTGTACCAACTACATATTTAGGTCAGCTTGATAGTCATAAGAGGTGACATTAAGTGATTAGAAAATGCTAGTATAAAATGTAACGTCTCTACTTTATCACCTCAAATAAAATTGTTCATCAGAAATTCTTTAGCGAAATAGAGTTCAACATTGGACACAAAAATCCCCTATGCTAAGTTATAATTAACTTAATAATGGATAGAGATTTAGTACTTCTCTCTAATCTAGTGAAGTAAATATGTAGATATAAAAAGCAGGTTTATTTTAAAATACATGATTTGATATTTTTAAATTAAGTAACATATGCTATTAGCTATCATTTTGAACTCTTCTACTTAAAATTTTTCATATTTTTTGCTGAATAAGTCCACACCTCCATATTTTTGATGTAAGTACATGCTTATCAGTGATGTTTGAATCACTATAAAAATAACAGTAAGATGTAAGGTTGACCTTTGTACCCAGGTTATAAATAGACATGAAATCTAAGATTTGTAAAGTCATTGTATAATGTAATATTCATAAAACTGTCAGGAGTAGAAGGGGAGATAGTGTGAAATACATTTCTTAAGTAGAGAGATATAGTTTTTTTATTTGGATTTCCAGAATTAAGATGACAGTAAGGTTTTTCATTTTTAATGAAACTCTTAATTTTTCAAACCTTGGATATAATATGTAAATTTTTTTGATAAGAAAAAAAGCAGAGAAGAGGGCATGTTTTTACAGACATTGCAGTGCAAGTAATCAGGCTCAATTAAACATCAACATTTGTGCCATTGAGTGGAAAATTAAAATTTAACAAAAGGAACATAATAATATGACATAATTATGTTGATAGAACTTTTATTAATTAGTTGTGAACAAAAATGTGATTTGTACTGATGAAATATTTAAAGTAGTAATGTTATGTGGACTTTAATTTAAAGAGGTAGTATGCAAAAGTTGCAACATCAAAATCGTTGTAAATTATACCTGAAAATATTTCTAAAATATACAATTTATATCTATGTATCTACTTGATCTAACTGAATTTGTTTTAAATGGGCGAATTAGTCATTAAAATACATTGTGTACTAATTGCTAAGTAAGCAGCTTAAACTTGCTTTGGTGCTGGTCCTCATAAACACTGGACATAGGCCAGGATTGACCTGGATATTCCCACTGCATTCCCTGTTGAAAGGAGTTGTTTTTATTTTATACTTATTTTAAGCTGGAAATATGTTTGTGTTGGAGTTTTGAAAAGTTTGTTGTTCTTGTTACTTATTCTATTTAGTATGGTCACAACTGGAAACCTTTAACTTTAAATGATAATTTCAAATATAGGAAGCAATCATTATTATTTGATCAATAATCATTAATTAAGTCTATATGGTGATGAAATATGATGTGATTCTGACATACCTATAATGTTATGTTAATGATAGATCTTTAAAGAAGTGTTCGGGCGTTATTGAATATTGATATCATGGTATAAACTGTATGAATATCTGAATCATATTTCAACTGAATTTTGAGACGAATCAGAAAATTGAATAATTAGTCTTTTGATCAAAAATTTGAGATAGTAGGATATATATTTATTAAATTGTGAATTGCTCGATCGCAAATATTTAAGTTACAAATTTTACATCATGTTGTTTGAGCTATATGTGGGTACATTGTTAATAGTAATATTGGCTATTGAATGATAGATTGTGGGACTTGTATGTACAAAGAACAAGGTCTTTTAAGAGTTGTATTAATCAAGGGATCAATATTTTTTGCCTATTATGTTTTCCTTCATCAATCAGAATGTTTCATTTATCTTTCCAGGCTTCAGCAGGTGATGGTGTGGACTGGAAGGCAGCTAAAAATATTTATGAATTTACTGTTCAAGATATAGATGGTAATAATGTTAAATTAGACAAATATAAGTAAGTGTTATATTACATGAATAATATATTCTGTGATTTCAAATTTCAATAAACGAAGTTTTATATAATTTATTTGAGAATTCATTTAAAAATTTAACATGTCTGAATGCATGGTAAATTTATATACTTCTTTTAAAAGTCTTAGGACACGAATTTTTCTTCTGTAGTGTCTATCTTGTTGTAAACATAGATTCTTTATAATTTTATTCATAGGTAGTGTCTGTCTATCCTCTTAATACTTTTTTCAGGGGAAATGTCTGTCTAATAGTAAATGTGGCCTCTAAATGAGGGTTTACAGATAAAAACTACACTCAGCTACAGGAAATGCACGTCCAATATGCTGAATCAGGTCTCAGGATCTTAGCCTTCCCTTGCAATCAGTTTGGGAGCCAGGTTAGTGCTCATCTTTTATTTATCATGATTCTGTGATGAATGCTGAAATACATATTGACAAAGCCTTGTCCTTCATTTGCAGTTTTTTTTTAAAACATGATTTATTTGTTCTGAATATGTCTTAGATAGTTCTTAATCCTCGCCACATTTTATTCACAAGACAAAAATGATATAAAAATGATAAAAAAGATATATGAACGGTTTATTTATGTTTGAAACAATATTGCCCCATTAGAGAAGGAAGCCTAAGTAATGATATCATTGACAACATTAGGTTTTAGGCTTTCTTGACACAGTAAGTACAATATGCTATATTGAGCATTTATAAATATTATTTGTAGGAACCAGGGACCAATGAAGAAATAAAAAAATTTGCAAAAGATAAATATGGAGTAGAATTTGATATGTTTAGTAAAATCAATGTCAATGGTGATAAAGCCAGTCCTTTATTTAATTATCTTAAAAATACACAGAAAGGAACATTTGGCAAGTAAGTGGTTAACATTATTAATGTTGGATATTGCTTCATGCCATGGTGTTCAGTTATTACTTTGGAGGTCTTACATTGAATAATGTAACAGAGAACAAAAAAAAAAAACCATAATCGAATTAGTAGAAATGAAAAATTCATATACTGATTCTCTTGTTTGCTACTCAACATCACAGTGCTCATAATCTTCTAAACCTTCTAAATCTGTTCTAAACTCTATCTTACAGTTTTATAAAATGGAACTTTAGTAAATTTCTGGTAGACAAAAATGGAGTTCCACAGAAAAGATATGCGCCAAATGTAGAACCAAATGTAAGTTTATACACAAGCTTGTTTTAGATTTAATAATGATATATTCAATTGTTAAAGATATTTTGATTTCACCTGAAAGTTGCATCATCAAAGAATGAAATAAATTTATATTTGAGTAAACAAAAGTACACATAGCTCAAACAACAACAAAAAAAATAATGATTTCCTAGATAAAAACCTTATAATACTTTTTTTCTTTCAGTCCATTGTTAAAGATATGGAAGAATTACTAAACCAGTGATTGGTTAACTTCAGGTCACAATTATCAAGTCCCTTAAGATTATCCAGGCTTTAAGATAGGAAGTTCATAGAATTTTTGTCTTCTTTTTCATTTTTCAGTACCATTTCATTTTGTGATTCACTCTTGATTTATCAGTTTTGTTTCTAATTATTGTTGTTAGGTATGCTCTTACTGAAGTATTTTGCAATTATCAGTTTAAATATGTACAAATCTGAGCTTATACCTGAGGTTGTGAACCACGATATTGACAGGCAGTATTGATGACGGATTTTGCCGAAACCTTTACGAAGGATGGCCCGATCCTGATTGTCCCTTGACGTGCAACTTTCACTGTCTGTCTTTATGACTGGGGTACACAACTTCAGGCCCTATCTTACAACTGGATGAAATTGAGGTTTTGTTTGCGTATGAATTTGTTTTGTTGTGTTTTGTTTCATTTTATGGATCTCTGTGGTATATATATCAGTGACTGTCCACGATGTCTTTAATAAATTCAAACAAATTTTGAAAAACGATTAATTTTCATGATCCTTATTGAATATTTGTTGTCTTCTATAGTATCACACAAATCCAAATTCTTGCTTTTCTAACAACCCTTTTATTAAATATGTTGTACAATGTTGATGATATAGATTCTTTGTAACAGAAACACAAAAATACTTTTTTGTCGGATAAAGGCTGTGACAGTATCACACTGCTATGCAATTAGTTTGTTAAAATATTATACAAACTATTGGTAAACCTGATGTTTTAATAATACCACAATAGAATTCACCCATTGTTTTGTGTAAATGCTGTAACAAACATAGGGTTTGATGAATTTATCACACATGTCCATAAAGTCTGGGATTTAGAATGCTAACTTGCTCACATTTCTTGCCATGAGCAATATACACATATTTGGTTGTGCTTTTCAAAATTTATACTTCTTAGTCTTAGACTCGCACAAAAGTCTGTTTAATAGCATGATATATAGAGTTAGTAATAAATCCTTAAATGAATTGACAGTTCAGACCATACAAGCCTTTCAGTTCAACAGAATACATTAAGACTTCATAATTTATTTTTCTTAACAAATTCTGTATAGTATCTTGAACCTCTAACTACCAGTATAAAATATGGTGTACCATTGTGAACATAAAATCTGTAATATACCCCAGCATATAACAGTACAAATATTTGTGGCAATACATTAAATAAAAATCCAATTTTACAAGATTTCAGCAAATTCTATAGCAAGTCACAAGTTTCTCAAAACAAGTAGTTTTTCAACATTAAAATACAGTCTCAGCTCTAAGTTTCCCCCTCTAAAATAGGTGTGAAATGCTGCTTTAGAGAGGTTTCACTGTATTGTCAATAGTTTATTTATATAATTTACTTACGTTTTATGTAGCATTGTGTCATGTAGGGTAGAGTTTATATCTACACGATATAGCCTCTCTTCTTCTCTATTCTCAAAATATATCTACAATAATTCACAAAATTAACTAACAGACGGTATACATATATGCCTAAAAGAATATAAATCAAAATATATAATTTGCTCTCTTAATGAATTCAAAACTGCATAAGATGATGCACTGTTTCATAATGTGAATTGTTGTCAAGATGTTCAAATAGCTTAATAATATAAATGTGATAATGTAAAGAAGTGAAAATTCTGAAAGGTAGTCTCCTCAATCATGACTCTAAACTTACCTCTAAAGATTCTGGTTTATATTTCTTATCAATATCCCATGCTGCAGGATCTGAATCAATCCCAAACATAGCTATAATATGATCAGCAAACCTACAAATTAACATAATGCTTACTGTACTTCAACAAATAACTTCATTTAACAGAACTTATCATATGTCTTGAATGTTTAAAATACATGTTCATGTATGATAGATGTATCAATGCCATTTCAATTTTGGTGTCACCTAAGTATTAACTTAATTTTGTATAGAAGTCTAGCTATAGATTATTTTTTTTAATAAAAGTACATTAGTGTATTTCAGAGCTGGCAGCTGTCAGAGATGATAACTAAGTCTTTATTGACCAAAAATATATTAAAGATCATCATAATTATACGAAATTTCTCCTATTCAAGATCTTCATTATGCATTTATAGTTCAAAAACCCTGAATATTTCATCAATTTAGGGTCAGTTATGTAGAGTTTTTCCACAAATCTTTTTAAATCAATAGCAATATAACCCAGAAGCATTGAATTATCACACTCCTCTCGTGTCTGAAATTTTCAAAGATATATAATAACGTATCATCAAATTCACACTAACAAGGTCTCATCTACATACACAAATTTGAAATTTACTGAGATCTCATTAATATAAACCTGCTTACCAAGTTTCATCAAGATACGATACAAACTGTAGCCCCCACCGTGTTTACAAGTCAAATTTGATGTATTTTACTAAGTCAAGGGCAATAACTCAAAAAACGTTCATCGAAACATCGTCAAAATTCAAGTGGGTGTAAAAAGAGGCTTCACAAAAGTTTTTACTTACGTATTTGTTTCATTAAAGGCTTCAATAAAATCTGTTTGAGAGTTTTCAGGGTAAAAGAAAAGTACCGGCCAATGTAAAATATTATTTTCATCGACTTTCACTTTCGCACCAGCAGGATGATGGGATTCCACATTGGCTAATATCAGGGGGGATAATTTAGTTTCTGATCTAAGTTTGTCTAATCCAGCTATCTTGATACCTTTACTCTGAAATATCAAAAAGAATCTGTTTAACAGATTTGGCACCAGTTTCATTCAATATATTTTATTTTAATTTTACAACTTTTTTAAAAAAGATTTTTTGAGAAATGAGCATGGGTTGGTGAATATGGTCTATGTTCTATCAAAAATATTTGATAACCCTCGTACCTGAATTAGTTCTATCAGCTTTTTCTCTTCAGCTTCTTCTTTTCTTTCTTGAGCTGCTTGTTTTCGTATTTCTTTTTCTAGTGTTTTCTACAAATATAAATAGTTACTCTGGCAAAATCTCCCATGCACAATGCATTTCAAAATAAAGTGCAAAAATGAAGATGTAAAACTTCATTTCATTTCTTTCTGATCTTATAATATTTATTTATAACTGTTTTGTCTCACAAGCTTTCTTGTTACATGTAAATGCATATTGCCTTTTGTCATGGTAAAAAAAAAAAAAAACTTTCATTTTTGTCATGGTAAATAATTTTTAAATACCAGTAGTGAGTAGTTATCAACCAACAAATGTTAAACATAACTACCTGTAATTTATCAGCTTTTGATCTCCAATCTAACACATCTTTATCATCTGGTTCCATCTACAAAATACAATGTGATATTGATTTTGGTTTTATCTGAATGAAGAATATGGCATTAAAGATTGCCTCTATTTGTAGACAGATGAAAGATGAACCTACAAGCTAAGTAAAAAAAATAAGACTATCTTGTATAAAGTGACAATATAAATCACAAGATTGCATGATGCAAACACACGTTATCATCTGGACGGCTGGTAGGACATACTGGGTCTTAAGCTGTATGACCTTAGTAAGGCAAATCACTGAACACTATATACTATACAGAACAATTATCTATAAACTTACCATTAAAGCAGCATCACACCATTTTATACAGTCATCATATTTCTTCATTTCTAGACAACATTTTACACCTTTAAAGATAATAACAATATGAATGATAATAACAATATGAATGATAATAACAATATGAATGATAATACAGTAATTATCATTGAGAATTACAGCAGTTAAGGTGTGTGCTGATTTCCACTACTGACTACATTGCTATCTATATGATTGTATTAAATTTTCTTTACTTACCTCTGATAATTGCTTTATAATGATCAGGTTTGAATTTTCTGGCAAATATACAATCATGGAATGCTGATCGGTAATTTCCTACAATATAAATGTTATTTTAAATAGCCTGGAAAATAAAGTTTATTGCTTGAACCACCATTTGAGTGTAATTTATATATACCCTCTGTGTGCTGCGTGGTTTGTCACTAATGTAAAAATGTCAATTTTTTTCTGGTATTTGGTATCATATCTGAAAATGTGGATATTTAGGAAAAAGTGTAAAGACTTACCAAGATGAAACTGTGCAGCAGCTCTATTACAGTATAAAACAGCATTGAGAGTGACATCAGGTGAATTAGATGTTATACCTTCAGTATAATTATCAATGGCTATTCTGTATCTTTTTTTTTTGAAGTTATCGTTACCATCATCTCTATAATTATCTGCTCTTTCTGTAAAAAATCATGATAAAATTTTATATAGTCGTCATTCCTAACAATGTATTGAACATCAAGGCCAGGATCTTTAAAAAATCTGTTTCTTTATAATAACTTACAAAGATATTGGAGATCCCAATTCATAAACAACAAAAATCACATCAAAAACAGAGAAAAAAAATCCAATCCAGTTCTATTTCGATAATGAAGACAATGTTGTGTTTATGACAATTTTGGTATCATCATAGTTTTTACAAATTCTATTATTTGACTTTCAGCTAATCATGAATAGTCAGTACCACACTTGCCCTGTTTTTTTATCCTATTTGAATAACTACAAAATGTACAAAAAGCAAGTAAAATAATTACCAGTAGGGTCATCACATTCATATTTAATCTGCATCAAAGCCTCTGTTTCTGGAGATAATGGTTTTGACAGATCAATTTCTTTAGCAAAGAACGGATGACGTTCTAAATCCTGCAATATAATTAAAACACAACATAGCAAAATCATTCCCTTGTTAGTGATCAAAATTCTCTCTTACCTTTACATCAATCAAGAAATAATGTTTTCTTGAAATCTTAGCTTAATTCTCACAACTATTCATAAAACAGATGAAAAGTCTTCGTAACAGTGCTAAAAACTTACACTCATAAGTTCATCAAATGACTTCTCTGGTTCAGCAGGTTGATTTTTCTTCTTTTCAGCACTTTTAGCTTTCATCTCTTCAATAAAAATTTCAAGATCTGCTTCCATTTTTTCAACCATGGCTTTTCTCTCAGCATCAGTCATATCTTTCCCAGACTTTTTCTTTTTTTCACTCATCATGGAAGCTAGAGTCTCTCGAATCTGAAAAAAAAGGAGGCAGTTTTGGGGGTGGTAGCTAAAGCTGAGTGCTTGTGACCTCACCCCTCCCCTGACATCAGCAAAAATATACCCATTCAATAAACTGTTTTCATTAGATTGTCAACTTAGGAAATGAGAGATGATATTCAATATTGCCACTGTCATTTGCATTTCACAGACACCATTTTACTGATTTGTTTTCTAGAACATTTTTTGTTAGTTTATACGAAATAGAAATTTGAATTGGTTGTCGACGAATTCCAAAACCTTCATAAAGTGGCAAATTTATCGTAATTGTGTATGAAAACTTACCCTAAAATTGATTGATAATCAACAATACTGTGAAGAATGAACATGCGTATTTGTTTACGTTTTAGAATTCAATCAAGGGAATTAACTCTCAATGGCGGACAACAATAATCATTTCAGAATGAGAAGTGCAATCATTCTTCAATGGTCTAAAAAGCTCACAGATAACATGTTTTCACTTGATTTATTTTATGTTCCAAAGACTGTTTTATTATGTTGTTTATTCATAAAATAGAACGTAAGCAGTAATACAAATGGTTTAATATCGGTGATACATTACAGACTCGTAGGCCATTGGCAAGCTTCTAGAACAAGAGTGATCATAATCACGTGTCTCTCGTGATGACGTCATATAGCGGGAAATACAAACTTGTTATCTAACAGTACATAATACAACATCCCCCTTATTTACAGTTATTATGATCAGTCTCTTGTAATACCTTAACTAAACATTAACTGTCTATTTTGACTATAGATTTACATATGAAAGTCTTAACTTTTGGAAAACCTGTTCATAACTCAATAACATTTTATATTTCTGTGATTAATCTTTTAACAGGTTTCCTTTTACGTTTAGACTTTCTTAAAACTTGACTAAACTTATTTTTAACAACGGGACTAGAATTATTCTCAACAAGAGGACTAAATGAATTCACTGGAGGTACATCTGAAAATCGTGTATGCTTTTGCGTACTTTCATTAGTAACTTCTTGTTGCTCAAAATCTTCAATATCATTATAAGTAAGGTCTTGATTACGAGGCGATTCACATGGAACTAAATTTGATCTATTACGTCTTAAACATCCTTTAGGAGTATTAACAATATAAGATCTAGGTGATCTATGTTTCTTAACTATGGTTCCATGAGATTTACTGTCTCTAATAAAAACATTTTGTTCAGGTTCTAAATCTTTTAAACGATTAACCTTATGACGTTTATCAAAATTACACTTAGTTTTCGCTCTATATATCTCCTCTCTTTCCCTCACTAAACTTAAATGTGACCAATTAGGAATCAATTCTCTAGGAGAAACAGGAACTTGAGTTCTTAATTTTCTGCCGAATAGTAATTCTGCAGGACTAAAACCTGAATGTAATGGAGTTGACCTATAAGCTAATAATGCTTTATAAGGATCATTAGATTTCTTAATAAGATTCTTAACAGTCTTAACGGCTTTCTCAGCAGCTCCATTGCTTTGTGGATATACAGGACTGCTGGTGATATGCTCAAATTCGTAATCTTTTGCGAATTCCTTAAATTCTAATGAAGAATATTGAGGACCGTTATCTGATCTTAACGTTTGAGGAATTCCATGACGAGCAAAAAATGATTTTAAATGAAGTATTACTTCTTTACTTGAAGTATACGTTAACTTAGCAATTTCTACATATCTAGAAAAATAATCAACTACTAATAAATAAGTGTTTCCATGAC